TTTGTTGGTGCCAGGCGGGGGTCCAAGATGTCTTGGTGGACCCCCGCCTGTTGGTGAAGGCGCAGTGTTTTGATTTGAGCCTGGCCCTAAGGTGTTAGCTGAGTTGACTGCGAGAAGGAAGAAAACATACCGGAGAGAGTGCCATGAGGCACCACCAACGCGCTCTTACGTCATTAGATCCCGGACCGGTCGCATAGCCCCTCATGGATAACTTCCCGCTCCACGCGCTTACGGCTTACGGCTGTTAACCTGCGACGAACGGCACTCCGAAGAGGTGGGGGACCCAGAGCCACTGCCAATTGCTATGCGACTGTCCGTCCGATCCATGACTGGCGCGGGGTCAGTGCGGGATGGCGCCCCGTGCGGCCCCAGCCCGCACTGACCCTGATGTTGATGAGAGCGGGTGGACTGCGAAGCACGTTAGTAGCTGAAGCTGAGGTGAGGTGAGGTAGAAGTGAGGTGAGGTAGAAGTGAGGTGGAGGTGAGGTGAGGTAGAGGTGAGGTGAGGTAGAGGTGAGGTGAGGTAGAGGTGAGGTGAGGTAGAGGTGAGGTGAGGTAGAGGTGAGGTGAGGTAGAGGTGAGGTGAGGTGAGAACATACCGGTGTCGGTCCCATGAGAGGATTTGAGTGGAAGGAAAAAGAAGTGAGAAGGGCGGGCGGGGAGGGATATATATACCCCACCAGCTCCGTCGCTTAGCGGGTGATTACGTGATTGAGCTTGGGCCATTTTCTGCCTGGGCAAGACGATTGTGGCCCGCGCGCCGCCTGAAGCGGTATGGCCGGGCGTTGCCTAGGTGAAGGAGACTACACGTGCGGATAGCGGCGGGGCAACAACAAACATTGTTGCAATGTTTGTTGTTGCCGATCATGCTCGGGAAATCTCTACGGCATTTTGTGCTTATGTTTATTTTGAAATCGACTTCGAGCGCGATAGAGAGACGTAGGAGTGATATCTTGGCGTGCAGCGCAGGGCATAGTAGTTGCCTTCAGGCGTATTACGGCTTTATCAGGGAGGGGCTAGGGAAGTTTTACAGACATTATGAGGTTTTCAGCTTGTGGGCGTGAAGACCTGCATGCTCTTGTAGGTCAATCCATGTATGTCGTGGTGGAGGGGCAGCTTTTCGGCGGCCAGGTGTGGCGAATCAGACGCGCAGCTCTCATCGATAGGAATTTACTCAGGATGACAACCATGCTCATCGTCGAGGACCTAGAAACCCACAACGCAATGTACATCGAAGTCATCAGAACGGCACGCTATGTCAACTCATTTATACGATCTGCGCCTCTGCAGTCGGCACTCTCTTAGCCTTCGAATGCGGTCTCATAAGGAGCCTCCGCCTGTGGGGTAATCCTCGCCAAATGCCTTCGCTGTCCGTCATCCCAATCCAAGAGCGCTGAATGCGCAGTAACACGATTGTCCCAAACGACAACAGTTCCAGGCGCCCACTTCACGCGAGCCTGGAAATCCTGGCCCTTGGCGATGTGGTCATAGAGGAACTTCAGCAGGAAGTCGCTCTCCTCCTTCTTGTACCCAATGATGCGACGGGTGAATTGTGGATTGACGAAGAGTGCCTTCTCACCGGTCGCAGGATGTGTGCGCACCAGTGGGTGGACGGAACTGACCGGCTCGCGACGGACAATACCACCCCGGTTCTTGCTGTTATCAGCCTGCTCGACAGCTGTTCACTGGTCAGGCCATGGACGATGAGATAGGAGACCTGGCACTTACCGGAATGGACCGCCTTCAGTCCATGGAGCCTCTTTCGGAACTCTGGAGAAAGCCGTCGATACGCCTCTGCCTGGTTGGCAAACAGTGTGTCGCCTCCTGCAACCGGTCCATCCAACAAGTACAGAAAGGTTGTTCCCGGTGGCTGTTTCTCGTAGGACACGTCGGAGTGCCACGTTACTGAATTCGTGCGCTCCTCGAAGAAATCACGAGCGGTCGTATCCTCCGCTCCACGGTGAACGAGGTGGACCTCCGGGTATCCAGCCGGAGCGCCAGAAGTCGGGTGGATGTGATGACGGCCAAAGTACCCTCCAAAATTGAGGGCGTCTTTGATCGGGATATCGGCAAAGTCTTGGTCTCGAAAGGCTACACCGCGTCAGCGACAGCCATTTTGGAATGGATGCCGAACTTACCGACGACCTTCTTCTGCGCGACGAACAGCGCCAACTCATTCTTGCCGGAATCGGTGAGCTTGCTCAACTGAACGCCAGTGATCTCTACTCCGATGTTCGCCGTTAGATCAGTAACGCCCGCACCTTTGAGAAGATTTGGGAAGCGAGGATCCGCATCTCTCCCATGCTCATAATGCTCGAAAGCTTCCAATGGAGGATATCTTGCCACCAGTCAGTTACTGTGCTACGCTCAGCTCAACGAGTACGACTAACTTCTTTTCGGCGTCCCAAACTGGGAGGTAGAGTGGGTATCTGGCTGGTGGCTGTTTACCAGTGCCCTTGAGCTCGGCATCCTCTCTGAAGGCTGTGGGGCCGCCAATGAATGCCTCCTACTATCTTAGCCGCTGCTGGACTGACTGTCAGGTATGATTGTACCTTGTATTCACCGGTGCCCGATTTGCTGTAGTGGACAGCAGGTTGAGGAGATGTATCAACGAGAGCAGGAGCCATGGCGATACTTTGGATTCAGGTGTGTGTCTTGTTTGTTCGTCAAGACTTCAGCACACTTCCTCTATCTCAAGCGACCCTCAACGCTCTCTTATATGCGATCGACCCATGTTAGCTGCGGTATGTTCACTTGGCATCGCACGCAGCGGCATCACAAACCAAAGCGGGGCACGCGCAAGCCATCCTTTATCGGATCGAGACCACGCTATTCAGCATCGGGTAGCTGCATCCTGGACATAGACGCTCATTGCTCCTAGGTATTGCCGAAAATTTCGGAACCGGATCCTGGACATTCGCCATCGATAACTTTGTTGCATCATTCGCTCAATCGAGTTGGCGTCAAATGGCATTAGGTATGCACGGCATCGTATCATGGACTATCAGCGTAGGCCAAGGTCTATGAGCAGGAAGCCATTCGACGGTGCCAAGCTCATCCACAGAGACTCGGCTATTGCTTCTCGGCTCTTCTTCTATCATTCGAAAAAGTTTATCATACGTTTTAAGCTTATCTTTGAGCCCAGGGCCGTCGGGGAGGTGGTTCGCTCAGAAATGTCGTTAGCCCCCCAGCCAATCACGCAATTCCCCATCAACGGCAATCACAACAAATCAACCTCAGGCATTCAAACCTAGATACCTATCATTTAACACGTCATCGGCCATCCCTTTTACGTGCTTACAGGGGAGCTACACTACCTCGGCACATAGAGGTACAGCTCATTGTCCAGACCGCACGGGAGGGTGGACCAACGTGACATGATATGGTGGCTGTCAACAAGAAGTCGCCACGCATGTTCTGCTACTCGGAAATGTCGTACTATGTGGTAGCCAGCCTCTCAGGGACCCCCACGACCTGGTAGCCGGAATGAGAAACACGACCACTGGCCCATGAGTCGGTCGCAAAGAGAGTCACATATAAAGTACGGGAGCTGGGCTGGTCCGACATTCCATTCCGACGCACACTGCATCTTACTCTATTCCGCCATATTGGAACAGGATGACTAAATCTCCCCTTACGGCAGCACCGCCCATTGCGGTGGTGCCTGACGTTGCCAAGTCTAACGTTGATGTCAGTGCCAGTGCCAGCGAGACCGAACTGTCTCACTCCGATGCGAAGACAAGAGAACGAAGTGGAGTCACGTTTGATACAGCTGGCCTTGGTCCGCAGCTCTACAAACCAATCGAGAAGTACGAGGGCAAGCACAGATACGACCCCGATTTCGAGTGGGAGCCGGAGGAAGAAAGGAAAGTGGTGAGGAAGGTAAGAAGAACCACTCTGCGATCCGAGCCTGTCATGCTGACCTACTCCAGATTGATAAGAAAATCTGCACCTGGGTCTGCTTGATGTTCTTCGCCCTCCAGCTAGATCGTGGAAATATCTCCCAAGCCTTGAGTGACAACCTGCTGAGCGACTTGAAGCTCAACACGAACGACTACAACTATGGGCAAACAATCTTCTACGTCAGCTTCTTGGCTGCCGAGTTGCCGTCGCAACTCATCAGCAAGAAGCTGGGTCCGGATAACTGGATCCGTAAGTCCCAGTTCTTAACTGTCACTTCTCGGGCGCTAACTTTCCTCAGCCATCCAAATGTGAGCGGCAAGCGGGTGTGGCTAGGCGAGACTGACAGCTTGGCAGGGTATCGTGGAGTCTTGTCGCCAGTATGCAAGCTTTCTTGAGTGGTCGTAAATCGTTCTACGCATGCCGTGCGCTTCTGGGACTCATCGAGGGCGGCTTCATTGTAAGTACCGACCTTTCTCCGTTTTCTAACGGTAGTGTAGATGGTGATGCTGATCGAATCCAGCCCGATAACATTCTCTATCTCTCGTACTTCTACACTGGCTGGGAGCTGCCGGCAAGATTGAGCTGGTTCTGGGTCTCGTACCAGTCCACACAGATTGTGTCCGCATTCCTAGCTTACGGCATTCTTCGTCTTCGCGGTAATCCTTATCTGTTCCTGATGTACTCTGCTGTCCCGGTGCTGACCATGCGTAGGTCACAATGGAATGGAAGGATGGGTATGTCTCACCCTGTGCATAGTCCGCACAGCACACTAACATGCCCTTCTAGCGATGGCTCTTTGCGCTCGAAGGAATGCTTACGGGTCTCATTGGTATCGTGTCTTGGTTCTACCTACCGCCGTCGCCTACGCAGACAGCTAGCAAGTTCCGCGGGAAGAATGGCTGGTTCAATGAGCGAGAGGAGAAGATCAGTCAGTGCAACGCCTTTGCATCCGGTGTGCTTACTAACCAGCAACAGTGGTAAACCGCATTCTTCGAGACGATCCGTCAAAGGGCGACATGCACAACCGCCAGGCGTTGTCTTTCAGGATGTTCTGGGAGTGCATCAAAGACTACCATATGTGGCCCATTTATCTACTGGGCTTATCATGGCTCATTCCCTCGTCACCCATGACATCCTACCTCACGCTCCAGCTTCGAGCAATCGGCTTCGATACCTTCCAGACCAACCTCCTCACTGTACAGCTACCCCTTCTCTCTCATACATCGCAGCGATCACTGACACTGGACAGATCCCAGCTTACGTCATCTTCATTCTCCAACTCCTCTTCTGGACTTGGATCTCTGAAAAGATCAACGAACGCTTCCTCATCGGCCTTTGCTCGCAGATCTGGGTCCTCCCCCTCGTCATCGCCCTCGAATTCCTCCCCAAAACCGCCTCATCGTGGTCTCGCTGGAGCCTCTCCACACTTCTCGTCGGACACCCATATGTGCATGCCATTCTCGTCGCCATCACCTCGCGCAACGCTGGCACAGTGCGCACGCGCACCGTCGCTTCGGCTATGTACAATATGTGCGTGCAGGCTAGCAGCATCATCTCGCAGAACATCTATCGTGATGACGATAAGCCGCTGTATAGGAGGGGAAACAAGGTGCTCATTGCGATTACGGTGTATAACTTTGTACTGTTTATAGGCGCAAAGGTGTATTATACGACGATTAATCGGAGGAGGGAGAGGGTTTGGGGAGGGATGAGCAAGGACGAGAAGGAGAGGTATTTAGAGACGACGTCGGATAAGGGGAACAAGCGGTAAGTTGATGCGCACTCTAGAGGAGACATTTACGAGTGCTGATGAGCTGATAGGCTCGATTTCCGTTTCGCGCACTGATCTTGGTCTCCCAATGGCCCGGATCCGTCGACCAACTTCTCAAACGGCTTATGCTGCGTGTCGAACATATGATTGGCTTAGTTTCCTTCTATGCGCAAGTTGATTTGTTCAGAGTGAGCCTTACGGAGCCTCGTAGCCGTGGCGTTGCTCTCTCAGCAACGTCATTGGTGCGATTGTTCGCTTTGCGCTTGTGGCTGCAGGAAGGCGCGATGAAGGGTGGCTGTGCAAGACTTCACCACATTTCCACTACAGCCGCCTCTCAACCTTCTTTCTTCCACTACTTTGAATACAATTCTACATTGCTCATTAATCCCATTGCCGAATCACTCGTACCCCGTGATTATTCTCCCTGAGACGAACCGCAGCGGCAAGCCGAGTACAGCTGCCTTCAGCTGGCCGCCAAACCTCAGCCTCGTGGGAAGCCTCCCCTCATCGGCTCGAAAATGGAAGCGACCGAGGCTTTAAATCCCAATCGACTAAAGGATGTTCCTACGGCGGTATTGCCACTTCAGCAAGACACACTCGAATTGACTTTAGAGTCTCTGCCACAAGACCGCGAGGCTATCCTTGGTGCATTGATGATAAGAACGCCGTCTTCATACTCCTTCCCAAATGCCACCAGGTCCAAACGTCTACGGGTCCAGATCCCCTGTCTCGTTCTCAACGCCTCGAGTTCCGACTGTATTGAGGTCGACTCTATTAGTCCCGATGGCTCCCTCTTAGCAACCTACTTTGTGCCCATACCGATGGGAATCATCAGCCTGACGGCTACCGTGTGTGCATTCATCGATCCCGGCATCGTGATGGACCTGAAGAACCTCGTGACGGAGCTGCTATGGATGGGAATTGGTGGCGCACAATGGGACAAAGCCCTCGCGAGGAAGCCATCCGTTTGTCCCGAAGGCTCTTACTCCTCCCCAACGCTTATAGCAATCCAATCCGCTAGCGGGTTTTCATTGAAACGCGTGGCTATGCCATGTAGCCGGCCTGGCACCGACCCTGTTGCCGAACCTGTTGCCCAACCCCTTCCCATTCGTTTCTCGCACCACCAGTACTCTTATAAGGCGTCTTCGACATCGACTTGGATCTCTTCGAAGACCAGCACGAGCTCTACGGCTACATTCACGACCGCTAGCAGTCGGGCCTCATACGTGACTGCTACATCTACGAACAGTCACTCGCGCTCTGCTTCCAGAATCCGCAACAGGTCAATGGCAATCCCCGAAGAACTTGCCGTCTCAAACGTATCGGGATCATTGGTCAAACTAAGCGTGGAATACGAGCAACAGCTGCAGGAGAAAGAGCTCGTACAGCCTTTTGATCAAGAGCTGAATTGGTCCGGAAAGGGGCAGCACACAGTCTACCTGCCAAACGAAGAGATTCCTCTCAAGGTTTTAGCTCAGCTGGGTGCGTCCAGCTCCGCAATCGTCGACAAAGTCCTTTGTCGCCGTATTGCCCTGGCAAGGAAGACAATGAGATGCACGCGCAAGTGGGGAGTATCGGATGCCATAGGCGAGGTATATCATCTGCAGAATCTTCGACACTTCCACATCATCCAGCTGGTCGGATCCTATCTTCAAGCACGGAACCTCGCCCTACTCATGTATCCCGCGGCCGATTGCCATCTCGGCACCTTCTTAGAAGATACAGCGGAGATGCTAGACGACTATCGAATTGCGTACCCTATTGGGCAGCATTTTTCTCCTCGGACGCATTTCCTAGCCTCCAGCTTGGGTTGCCTGGCTTCTGCAGTGGCGTATGTACACGAGAATACCACGAAGCACATGGATATTAAGCCGCAAAACATTTTAGTCCGAAAGATCTGCGAGCAATCCTCATCCTCAACCGAGCATCACTGGTGGCGCGTGTACCTCGCCGATTTCGGCCTCTCACGCTCATTCGCATCCCAAGACCACAGCCAAACCGACGGGCCCACGTCACGAACGCCGAAATACTGCGCCCCCGAACAGTACAGTTACGACTTTCGCGGTCGTTCAGCCGACATATTCCCCCTTGGCTGCGTCTACACCGAGATCCTCACTGTAGTAGCCGGATTGCAACCGCACGAATTCGCAGATTTTCGTCGCGGCGATGGGCAAGATGAGTCCTTCCACGGGAATCTCGACAGGGTGACAGAATGGGTGACGACCAAGCTGGCGCCTGGAGAAGAGTGGTCCACTTCGCAATCGTTACAGATTCTGATCCTGGAGATGTTGCTCGTGGATCCGACGAAACGACCTACCGCTGCCTCCGTTGTAAAGTTTTTCAGCGAGGAAAGTAATTATCGCTTCCGGCTCAAAGGATGCTGTGGACAGAAGCCGGAGCCTTATGTCGCTTACCAATCCACTCCTGTTGAAGACGTCTGGTAGTTCTTGAGAGCGGGTTCGGCTGGTTCAACTCATTCTTTGGCTCCCAGGGCATTTGAAAACCGACAAACCGCCTCTCTGCGTAACGTTCACATAATCATCCGCAAAAGCTTGGAATCGACGCCATCATGGCTACTTCACCGTCATATCAGCCAATTCTTGCCCAGGCAGTAGGAGTATGCCGTGGCTACAGTTCGAAGCTCCTGGAAATATCAGCAAGCCAAGCGCACGCTCGTATAAGATCTACCCGGCCTCCCTTATGTGAGACTTCTGCACTCTCATTGGGCCTTTCCGACTCCCATCAACGCACGACGCATTTGCACCTTGGCAAATGGCAAATGGCATCCCACACCGACAAGGTGTTCCAATCTCGCTAGGATTCGAACTGCTGTTTTTAACGCGAAACACAATCGAGATACGCGTACCTCCTCGCCATCAGACAAAGCCTCAGATGCCGGAAAAACCAGTGGCTGCATTCATATATACTCAATACAAAAACCACACGACATCGCTTGCTGTTCAGATATCCTCTCGACGCATACATCTGCTCTCATGTCTATCGACCAGGAGAAAATGGAGAGCTCATCGGTTTGACCCTGGCACCTCTACACTCACACATCGATCAAATTCTCATCCTGGCCTTCGCCTGAGTTATCCCTGGTATCCTTATTTCCCTTCTTCTTCCTATCGCCGTCCGTCCTACTCCTAGCATAGTACTGGTCGAGAACCTTGGCCGGAATACGGTTGAGCAGCTCCTTGGGGTAGATCCTAAGCAAAGACCAGGCCAGATCCAGCGACTCGAAGATAGTTCGAGATTCATAGGCGGACTGCGTGATGAAGGTGCGCTCGAACTTGTCGAGGAACTCGAGAGATAGTTTGTCTTCGGACGACAGAGCCTCCTCACCGACGACAGCTTTCATAGCGGCGGCGTCACGACCGATGGCGTATTTGGCGTAGAGTTGGTTGGAGACATCGCCGTGGTCTTTCCGTGTGCGACCTTCGCCGATGGCGGACTTCATGAGACGGGAGAGAGACGGGAGGACGTTAATCGGCGGATAGACACCCTTGTTGTGGAGCTGACGGTCGACAAAGATCTGGCCTTCCGTAATGTAGCCAGTCAAATCGGGAATGGGATGGGTGATATCTGCCTAGTGTCAGCTTCGGATTTTGATGTTCGAAGATGCCGAACATACCGTCGTTAGGCATAGTCAGGATTGGGATCTGGGTGATGGAGCCATTTCGTCCTTCCACACGTCCAGCTCGCTCATAGATGGTGGACAAATCTGTGTACATGTAGCCAGGATAACCACGTCGACCGGGCACTTCTTCTCGGGCAGCGGAGACCTCACGCAGGGCATCGCAGTACGAGGACAGATCGGTGAGAATAACCAAGACGTGCTTCTCGAGCTGGTATGCGTAGTATTCGGCGGTGGTGAGGGCGAGACGAGGGGTAATGATACGCTCGATGCTGCGCGGGATTAGCGAGGGTGTACGCCGTAGGGTCGCTCTTGAACTCACGTTGGGTCGTTTGCCAGGTTCAGGAATAGCGTGACGCGCTCCATACTGCCGTTCTCCTCAAAGTCCCTCGTGAAGAAGCGACTCGTCTCTAAGTTGACACCCATGGCGCCGAAGACAATGGAGAAGTTCTCCTCATGACCGTCGTGAACGTCCTTTGTAGGCTTGCCGACTAAACCGGCTTGTCGACAAATCTGGGCAGCGATTTCGTTATGCGGCAGACCAGCGGCGGAGAAGATGGGGATCTTCTGGCCACGGGCGATGGAGTTCATGGTGTCGATGGCGGAGATACCGGTCGAGATCATTTCTTCGGGATACACCTAAGCGCTGTTAACCTCCATGGACCGAATGCCGAGATAGTTGCCTTACACGAGAGTAGGGGTTGATAGGACTGCCGTTGATATCGAGGTAATCCTCCGCAAGCACCTTGGGTCCCTTGTCGATAGCTCTGCCAGATCCGTCGAAGATGCGACCAAGCATGTCCTCGGACACACCAAGCTTCAAGCTGTGGCCCGTAAACTCGACTTTCGTCTGCTAGGGTCAGATATGCTCCGTTGCCTGGTGTTATAGTATGTTATGTACCTTCTTTACGTCGATGCCTGTTGTGCCTTCAAAGACCTGCGCCGCGATTAGATATATAGTTTTATAGAGAGTTGCAAGACGGCTACCTGGACGACTGCCCTGTTTCCTGCAGCTCATATTAGCAGCGCGATAACGTAGGCCATGTAGACGGCCCACCTCGAGCTTCCAGGACCTGCCCAGACCGCTCCGAGCCATCGGGGAGCGTCAAAGACACGATCTCATTGTACTTTGGAAATTTGACCTGTCAGGCTGGCGCGTTAGCTCCTACGTCCACTATCTGAGCTCCGGGAGCTACCGACACTCTCGAGAATGACCAATGGTCCGTTTACGCCGCCGATGGTGTTGTACCGTATCCGCGGCTGGACCTTCATCATTCGGGGGTCCACGATGTCAGGCATGGCGGCGGCTGTGCTGAGTGACAAGAACGAGATTTGAGAGCGCTCCGAAGAAGTATTAGAGCCGCAACGGAGTATTTGCTCGCGGCGTGGCGGGTGCTAGAGCTGCGTCGTCAAAGTGGGAGGAGCTCTGGCCGGGGTTGGCGCAGCTCGAGAAACGTCAGTGCGGTCGGTGCGGGACAGATGACCGCATGACTAAGCGACGATAAGCGCAGCTCTGAAGAAGCAAAGAATCTGGCACTTGACACCGCTGGCTGCACTGAAATAGAAATAGAAGATATCACCTCTCTTTTCCAACATCTCAGAACACATCAAGGTTGCGACACAGCGCCACGCAACGCTAGGAGATGCCTGGTCGCGGCATCAAGTATTGAGCATGAATTCACAAAGGCGAAGGCGAAGTCAGTCACAAGAGGGGCAGGGTACCCCAAAACATTTGGCATTAGAGTCTATCCATGTCACCGTTCAGCTATGGTACGCAGCGTAAATCAACGATGCACCAGAATTCTCCAAAGCCCGCAGCTATGGAATCTCTGGGTTCACCATGATGCCTCCACCCGAGGATACACCTATCACTCTCGTTAGCAATGAGACTGTAGCGAGAAGAGAACAAAGCGTGGTATAGAAGGCAGGAGATCAGACATCCAAGGAAGGATTCGCGCTCATCGACGGTGTGCTAAATTGGGTCTGGCAGAGGCCGCCATAGCGTGGAAACTGCGAATGTGGAATGGTTTTCATCATGATATTGAACAGGGAGACGAAGAGAGAATTTACACTAACCCGGGGAGCGTGGAGTGCTGCAGCTCCTGCAGTCAGTATCCTGGAAGAAATCTCTTCATGAGGGCCCAGTATGCTCGCACATGCATATTCCTCGACGAGGCGGCCCGGAATGGGAGCTCAAACCGCGCGTTGTCCGTTCCTCCGGTCTATCGCGCGGGACGGGCTACGGAGCGGGCTACGGAGCGGGCGTGGCTAGCCGAGCATCTTTGTCGTGTACAATAGGCCCCGTGCTGGAGAACATGGCGGACCCATGGTGAAGCCACCTGTCTCCATGCGAAGGAAGGGACCTAAGAGGTTGATCAGCATCCGCTTCCCCCACGAGGACTAGAAGATCAAGGCAAGTGGTGAGGTCAGACGAAGGTACTGGCAAGTAGCAGGCACCCTGCGAGAGGCGCCCGGACAGCGTAGTTTTCTTCAAGGACGACTCCGTTGGGAAAAGAAGAAGTTGGGGTATCATCACTCCAGGGCGCGCGGAAGAGAGCTGGGAGATACTCACCTGAGATTCATTTAGCTGTGGCGCCAGCGAGACACTCGAGATGAAGTCTATGCCCTGTGCAGGGGCAGCTAAGAAGGCGGCAGACATGCTGCTGCATTGCGGACCGGCACGATAGCCATCAATGGCGGTGCAAGGGCAAGGGAAAATTGTCGAAGACGATGATTGTGAGGTGAAGATTCGGCGATGGAATTTCGGTGCGGAAAAAGCTGGGAGCTCGCGCTCGGACCACATGCCAAGTCTCACGTGAGAGTACGGTAATAAATTTTGCGCTTGCTCATCAGCGGAGGCCACAGGGTCCGTCAGGGTGCGTGTCGCCCAAATAATCGCGCGGAGACTGCCAAAGCGGAGAACAGCATTTGCCAGCTGGCGTGCCTGCGTGCAGCGAGCTCCTGGGCCTGGGTTTCGCAGCTTTTGGGGTGCAAAATCAGGAGGTGCAGGCCGGATAGATTACCTGGCGGGTGGCTGGGCAGGTGTTGAGGGTAAGGAAAGCGCCCCCTTGAGTTAGACAGGTGCAGCCGATCGGCGTCTCGTCTTCCCACCAGGCCATGCGCCCATCTCTCACGACAACTCCGCTATCGACCACGCCCGCGTCCCCAACTCCACGAGCCGCCCTCGACCCTGCGCGCCAGCGAATGCCTCGCCGCCCCCGACGCGCCCCCTAGACAGCTCTGCGGCGCCCATTGCAGCCGCTGCCCGCCGCATCTCACGCCCGGCACCGCTCTGCCAGCGGGACGGATGCGCGACAACACCGCACGACTCTATCCAGCGCCAGACCTGGCAGCTCCCTCCGCCGCCTCCGCCCAGCGGTCCTGATCGCGTGCGCTGCCTCTTGCGCGACCCCGTCCCAGCAGACGTCGCCGTCGCATCTCAGCCCCGGCACCTGCCGGCCGTCGGCAGAGCATCGCTCGTCGTCCCGACCGCCATCTGCGCGACAGGCGGCCTCTCCGTTCGGTTCTTGCACAAGAGCTGGGCATTGGTTCCGGCTTCTGCTGACTTGCCGAAATTATCGCAAACGGCTTCCGTCACCCTCTTCCTCGTCGGCTCCCAGCGAGATCCCTCACGGGCATGCGTGTTCTGTGAGCGATAGCATATTCTTTGCATAACATCTCACGGGACCTTTTTGTTCTTCTCGCGCTTCGACTCCTCGGTCGCGACCGGCGGATACTTCTCCGCAAGATAGCCCAAGGCCGGTGGCGGCTATTGGCGCAAGCAAGATGATGCAAGCGACGTCCTTTCCGCAGAATCCCGCCATGCAAGGCATGCCTCCGGGGCCAATGATGGGAGGGCCGGGCCCAGGTCATCATATGCAACCGGGGATGCAGATGCACCCCGGGGTATCAGGGCCGAACGGTCCCGTTAGCCAGCCAGGACCTATGATGGGCATGCAGCCAGGCGTTGGACCCAACGCGCATGCTCTCTCGCATCTTCAGCCACAGCATGCGCACATGTTTCAACAGCAGCAACACCCTGGCATGAGTAGGTACTCTGAATCACCCTCGACCCGCGTTTGCTGACATACCCCTCAGTCAACCAGGCGGCGCTCATGCAGCAGCACAGAAATGCTCAACAGCAAGCGGCCCTCATGCGACAGCAGCAACAGCAGCAGCAGATGCTCGCGCAGCAGAACGGTATGCAGATGGGCTTCCCAAACCAAATGGGCAACATGGGCCCCCAGCAGATGGCCGCGTTGCAACAGAACATGGGACAACCTTTTGTCCAACTCCCTCCACACCTGCGTCAACAGATGCAGCAGCAGCAAGCCATGCAACAGCAGCAGCAGCAGCAGACGAGCAATCCCCAGCAAGCAGCAGCCATAGCGCATGCCCAGCAACAAGCGCTTCAAGCCCAAGCTCAAGCCCACGCGCAGCAAGCACAGCATAGCCAGCCGCCTCAAATGCAACAGCAGCAGGCCATCGCCATGCAGCATGCTCAATCGCAACAGAGCAACCACAGCCAGTCCGGAAACCAAGGGCCACCAGCAACCTCACAGCCTCCCCAAGGACCTTTGCGACCTCCGTCAGCCATGAGCCATCAAGCTTCCCCTGCCCGTCAGCCGACACCGCAACAGCCGCAACAGTCAGGGCCACAACCACCACAGCAGACACCGGCACCTAACCAACCTCCGAACATGCCTCAGCAGCCCACTCAACAACCGCAGAACCAGCCTCAGATGCAGCAGCGCAATCCGGCCATGGCCTCGCAACAAGCGCAAGCGCAAGCTGCCCAAGCCGCAAACGCCGCAAACGCCGCACGACTGGCGATGATGAGACAGCCTCCTCCCACTTCAGGGCACGGCACATTGAAACTGATGTTATTCGTCGACCAGCTCGGGAAATTTAATGTGAGCGTTTTCCGTTGATATATATCTCCTAAACTAACATGATATAGGTCTCCCGAGGCCCCGACGTGAACGCCATCGGTCACTGGCAGGGTTTCGTAGACAAGTTCTTCTCTGATAGTGGCTCGTTCATACATGTCATCTGCTCAGCCACATCCGAGAGAACTAAGCTATTTGAGATAGTCTACGCCGCGATGCCTCGTTATTTCTACACCCAGTTCAACACTGAGGTGGAGAATCTGCAGATTACTCTGGACGGAGCGGCTGAGAAGACGTCACCCACCGAGACCAAAGTTACCTGCGAACGGGCAAAGTTCATCTACACGTACAAGAACCAGTGCCAGGTGAGACTTGCGCCTTTCTGTTTGTTTGCCTCTGCTGATCCGTCTAGGTCGTATGCCAAGGGAAATTAACCGCATTCTGGGCCGGCTCGGAGAAGATGGAATGGCTACAATTCGAGTCGCAGGGACACCAACAGTACCTACCGCGTTCTCTCCTGGAGTCCCTGTTTGAGGAGCCACCGATCAATCCTCTCTCGCTAACACAGTCACCCCGCTTGAATAAGTCATCGGCAAAGCAAAAGCAGCAGCAGCAGCGAGCCGCACAAGTTCCCCAGGAGCTCGTGATAACACAGTCGAAACTCCCCTCCGCAGGCATAACAGACTGGGGTTTGCCACCCGCACTACAGTCCTATCTTGAGGTGAGCTGCTTCACAGCAACAGTCCCTGTACCCACTGACCCTCGTCAGATCTACGAGACGATGAATAACATGACTAGTCTCATGGCTCACTACCTGGACAACCCGGCCTTGCCCCCTGCTACAGCGATGAATAACTGGTGTCAGATGATGTCTACTAGCCAAGGCATCGCCGGTCAGAATCCGAACCAGATGCAGGGTGGCAATATGCCTCCAAACCAGGGGATGCCGCACCCTCCACAACCCGGAATGCCCCCAGGGGCACGGACGCCGTCCGGAATGGGCCAACCCGGAATGCCTCCGAACCAGCAGTTCATGTCTCCAGCCATGCAGAACGCTCTCCTCCCGAACGGCAACATGAGCTCGCCTCATCTCATGCACACACCGTCACCCGCCTCACACCCGATGGTCACCCAGCATAGCCAGAGTTCCAACACGGCTAGCGTGAGCACTTCTCCAAACGTCAACGCCAAGCGACGGAGAAGTACGGCAAAAATGGATGGCGATGACGGAGGCGGGGACGTGAATGGCGCACCAAAGATCAAGCAGAGCCCACGGGTAGGAGGCAACAAGAGGGTGAAGGCCAACAACTAGGACTTAGATGCCTTCTACTACTTCTTTGGCGTGCTGGAGTAGTTGCTCTGGTCTAGTTCCCCTGTTCAGCATTCCCACACCCCATCCATGTTTGTATAGCGTGGCGTTGCGTCAATTTCTTTCCATCACTTTCTCACATACTTCACTCATGTCTATGCTTTTTCTACCTATCGGCCAGGGTGGAGTTTCCCCTTTCATACCTTGGGTTGGCAGTTTGTGTGCTCATGGAGTTTTTTCGGATCGAGGGACACATTTGTGGGCATTTTCCTTGGTCTTGTCGCATATTCCATTTCCCTCATATCTGCGCGAGCTGCTCTCGAGCGCCAAGTGGCCAGGCTCTTTTCATTTTCTTTGATAAGTAATTTCTTGTATATTATGGCAACTCGCTCTGGGGTTTGCGGAGTGGGTGATGGAAGGGAAAACGGGCGGTGCTGTATTTGCGATTGATTTGAGCTGAGTTAGACGCATGTGCGTCTAAGAGAGATGGCGCGCATGCGGCGGTCAAAGACTCCTTCAAGATTATCTATGGAATCAAGATGTTATGACTTTTAGTTCAACAATTGTGTTCCCTGAAACTACTGCTGTGATGCGCGTGATCCTATTACATTCTAGCTTTTTACTTCTCGTGATGCTCGCTGCTCCGTGCTTGTTGTGGATGATGTTCTGCGCATCGTGGAGTTCAGTCTGGAGTTGGTGTTCTCTGCCCGGCCACCACCTTCACCATCACTAGCAGATAGTCACCGTCACCTTCAGATAGTGATGATTTCGCAGCCGTCAGCCCCCCGCTCGCCTTCACCGCGGCTCTGTATAAGCAAAAGATGGAGAAAACGTCGTCGCCGCCCGGCTGCCTCTTGCTCCTCGGCACTCCACAACATCGCACTGCTGTACGTATACCCTTCCTATCTAGTCATTGCCCGACCTTGAATTGGAGCTCCCTGATCCCTTCAGCTTGTGATTTCGCGTCCCGGTGAGGGCTTTGGGCGTGACTGGTGTGGAGTTTGGTTGGTGGTGAGCTTTTCTGGCTGACGCAGTGTAGCACGAGCTCCTCCTCCTCCCTCTCTTCTGCGTGGGCCAAGTGCCCTCAAAATGTCTGATTGGTCTGCTTGGTCTGCTTGGGTTAAGTAAGTACCACTCATGCCGTGATGTCGTTGGCTGCCGCCTGCGAAACTGCCCAATTTGCTTTCCTGCTGGGTTTTGGATGGGGCTTGGAGGTCTGTGGGAGGTGGATTGGACGGAGGTGGAAGAAGTAGTGAAGAGCGGTGGACAAGTGCTGCTGGCGGGTTGAAGGGCGGCTGGAGGTAAGTTTGCTGCCTGATCTGCGGTGGGTGCCGTAACTGACATATCGTAGGCCTGAACGGAGACTGGTTGGATTCGATCGGGAGCTCGACGGGTACACAGGGACGACAACCGGCTTCTTCGCGGTGGAGGGCTGTAGGTGATCCCCTTCCTGTCCTTTGAAGACGCCTTGACTAACTTAAGTCAGGTTCCAGCGGCTTCTTTGGGCGGTATTTTCTCTTCACGCCGGAGGCATTCAGGATACCGTTTCCGCAGCAGACCAGAAAGAGGTGGAGAATCAGCGGCAGACTGTTGCAGCTGGCGCTTAACGGATGGCGATGGCCGTGGGTTGAGATTTGCTAACGTGTGAATAGCTGGCACCTTGAGTGGCAGTGGGCCTCGTAAGTGGCCGTCCTGTTCTCCGTTCTAATCAGGATTCGATAAGAACTGATCAATTTTTAGCTTCGGCCGATTTTCGTGGAGCGCGGAGACGCGCTACCTCCAGCGCGAGCTACGCTGGGCAATCCAGCGTTTCGTGTGGGAGAGGCGAGGCACCCTCGCCCACCAGTTCGCGTTCGGCCGCGTCGGCAGCGGAGCGGTGCTGCCCGGGAGCCCTCCCGCAGGGGCAACGGCCACGCAGGCCATCATCAACAAGGCCTTCCACGGGGTTGATTCGGGAAACCCGTGGATCACGGTAATCCTGATTTACCTAGACTCCCAGGGGTAAGTCGCCGTGCTCAGAGAAGCGAAACTGGATGGTACGGCGAGAAGTACTGACATACTGCTTATAGATACCAGGTGGGGCAGTTCGGAACGGTGCACCTGCACCGGAACGGGCGGGAGACGCTGGGAGTGCAGGACGGCACCCGCTTTGACGTTGCGCCTGGACAGGCGTTGATTCGGCGACCTGTTAGTCGGCCACTCCTCGGAAACCGAAAACTAACTAACTGTTATCCAGCGGGCGCCGCCAGTAGCGCGGGTAAACCGGCGCACAATCCACCTTCGCCGCGGCGGGCCCCCGGTGCCGGTGCCTCGCGGCGTTCTCCGGCCTTTGGTACGTGACAGTATCTTGAATTCCCTCATCCTCGCACCCGCACACCAGGACGCGGCTAACTAGATACACTCAAGGGTCCTCAGGCCCCTGGAGCCGTTCAGGCTACCGCTCCGGCCGCTCCTCCTCACCCTCCTCACCCTCCTCACCCTCCTCCACAGCCCCCGCAGTCCTCCGGGAGCCACGCTCCTGCCCAGCAATAGACTCGGTATGTGTCCACATTCCCCCGTACAGCCCCTTCATCTGCTCCCTCAATCTCTTGAACGGCTGCTCGCCCGGCGTCGGATTCATCGGATCCTTGGCAAAGTCGTGGAAGAGGACGCCGTACACGATGACGAAGCCAATCAGCCCCCACTGCACAATCTTGGTCCACTTCTGCCACTGTGGCTTGATCGACTTGAGGCGCAGGCGACGCTTGAATTTGCGCTCGAAGCGGAATTGTTGCTTCTCCGTCAGCTCGCGCAGGTTGGGCGGCCAATTCTTCTTTGCTTTGTAGCGGTTGCGCGCGAAGTTGAAGGGTGGCAGTTGCGGTTTTGCGGGCTGGCCGAGGAGTCGTCGTATGAGCCGCAGCATTGTGCTTTCGGATGTGCGACTGAGCGGATGCGTCGAATTCGCGGAATGGAGATTGAGAGTGCTCGACTGACGTTCAAACAGAGCTCTCTCAAGCTTCGTACAGGCGAGACGCACAGACGTCTTGGCGGCCACGGACACCAAACCTTCCTGTCTGAGTCAATACGGCTACAGCCTCCCACAACAACTTACCCTTCTCCCCACGAACACACACTCCGGCAACATGGCAGAAGCACCGGTGCCACCAGATGTACCTCACAGCGCCGTAAAGGCCACCTTGAGCGTTCTTGACCCCTCCGCTCACTCGCAGGCAACCCTCAAACTTGAGAATACAGAAAAGAGAGACGCGCTCGTAGCGTCAGAAAAGAAGTATCAGAAAAAATGGGCCGAAGCACATGTCTTCGAGCCTGACGCGCCCTCACTTTCCGAAGAGCCATTTGACACAACCACTCCGGACGACCTGCACGCCAAATACCCCAAGTATTCAGCAAACTTCGCGTATCCCTACATGAACGGTTCCCTCCACGCAGGACACGGATTCACAGCTTCGAAAGTCGAGTTCACCGTAGGATTCCAGCGGATGCTAGGCAAGCGCTCCCTCTTTCCTCTCGGATACCACGTGACGGGAATGCCAATCAAGGCCTGCTCAGACAAGCTTGTCCGAGAGATTGAGCAGTTTGGCAAGGACTTTTCAGGATGCCATGTGGACGACGTCATCGAGGAAGGCCCTACGGATGGCGCAGTTCCCCCAGCACCGACTCAAGCCGAAACCAAGACAGATGTGACCAAGTTCTCTGCTAAGAAGGGCAAGGCCGTGGCGAAGTCTGTCAAGACAAAATATCAGTTCCAGATCATGCTTTCGCAAGGCATCCCGGTAGATGATATCTACAAATTTGCCGATCCATATCACTGGATACAGTACTTCCCGCCAATCGCCAAGAGGGACCTGGAGTCATTTGGAGCTCGAATCGATTGGCGGAGACAGTTCGTCACGACGGATGCAAACCCCTACTACGACTCTTTTGTCCAGTGGCAAATGAGAAAGCTTAAAGAGATGGGGAAAATCATCTTTGCGAAGCGGTACACCGTATACTCCCCGAAGGACGGCCAGGCTTGTCTAGACCACGACCGGCAATCAGGAGAGGGAGTCGGCGTTCAGGAATACACTGCCCTCAAGATGATGGTCAAGGAATGGTCCGAGCCAGCGTCGAAAAAGCTTGAAGGCAAGCTTTCGGCAGATGCCAAGGTCTACTTCATCCCAGCCACCCTTCGCCCAGAAACGATGTATGGTCAAATATCTTGTTTCGTCGGTCCGAATGTCGATTACGGTATCTTCCAGGTTTCCCCTTCGGAATGCTTCGTCTGCAGCGACCGAGCGGCGAGAAATATGGCGTTCCAGGGTACCTTTCCGGAGTGGGGCAAGTTTCCCAAGATCGAGTCTTTCAAAGGAAAGGAGTTAATCGGTACGCTGGTCAACGCGCCCCTCTCTGTCCACACAGAAGGAGTTCGAATCCTTCCTATGGAGACTGTAAAGGACACAAAGGGCACAGCCGTCGTTACCTGCGTACCTAGCGATTCTCCTGACGACTACATCACCTCTTTGGACTTAGCCAAGAAAGCGGAGTACTATGGAATCCAGAAAGAGTGGGTCAAGTTCGACGACATCCTACCCATAATATCTAGCCCCTATGGGGATCTCACGGCGAAGAAATTGGTCGAAGAGATGAAGATCCAGTCACCGAAGGACACCAAAAAGCTCGAAGAGGCGAAAGAGAAGGCCTACAAGTCTGGATTTTATTCGGGAACCATGATCTATGGCGAGTTCAGCGGGAAAAAGGTTGAGCAAGCAAAAGATCTGGTACGAAAGAAGCTCATCGACTCTGGAGACGCGTTTCCCTACGCCGAGCCTGATGGAAAAGTCATCAGCAGGAGCGGTGACGACTGCGTTGCCGCGCTGTTGGACCAATGGTTTCTGAAGTACGGCACTGGAGACAATGGAGGCGACGCCGAGTGGGCCCAACAGGTCCTAGATCAGATCAAAGCCATGGATCTCTACTATCCTGAAGCCCAGCATGCCTTTACACAAGTCGTCGCCTGGCTTGGCAACTGGGCATGTGCACGGAGTTATGGCCTAGGATCGAAGCTGCCTTGGGACCCCTCTGTAATGGTCGAGTCCCTTTCGGATTCCACGATTTATCAGGCTTACTACTCGTTTGCCCATCTGCTCCATCGAGATCTCTTTGGAAAAGAGGCTGGGCCGCTTGGTGTCAAGCCAGAGCAGCTGACAGACGATATCTGGGACTATGTCTTTGCTCGCCGCGATCGAGGAGACCTGCCTCAGTCAGAAATCCCGCAGGAAGCGCTCAAAACCCTGAGGCGCCATTTCGACTATTGGTATCCACTCGACATGAGAACAAGCGGTAAGGACTTGATTCAAAATCACCTTACCTTCAACCTCTACGTCCACACTGCTATCTTCGACAAAAGCAACTGGCCGCGAAGCTTCCGCGTCAATGGACATCTGATGCTCAACGGGGAGAAGATGTCCAAGTCCACTGGCAACTTCCTGACAATCCAAGGCGCAGTAGAGAAATTCGGCGCGGACGCTACTCGAGTCGCTCTCGCGGACGCGGGAGACGGTATCGAAGACGCCAATTTCGAAGAGACAGTTGCAAACGCAAGCATTCTGAAGCTGTTCGAGCTCCGTAAGTGGTGCGAAGAGCTCTCACGTGACCCCGTCATCGCGGAAGACGGCGAAAAGTACAGGTATATCCGAGACAACGAGCGCATAAAGAATATCGACACCATTCTGCGCAAGTCTGGGAGCCCGCGGCAGCTTTGGGACGACATCTTCGACAATGAGATGAACGCCCTAGTTGTGGAAACCAAGGAGCACTACATTAAGACGTTCTACAAGGCGGCTCTCAAGTCCGGATATTACGACTTCACGGCAGCACGAGATTTCTACCGCGAGGTGACCAAGGCGGCCGGTCTCGGGATGCACGAAGATCTCGTAAAGCGTTACATCGAACTCCAGGCGCTCATGCTCACCCCAATCGCGCCGCATTGGGCAGATTACATCTGGCAGGAGGTCTTGAACAAACCAGACACTATTCAGAACGCCTTGTGGCCGGAGGTTCCAGAGCCTGATGCTTCCCTGACTGCGGCGCGAGAGTTCGTGAGGTCTACTCAGTCGAACATCACGTCTGCGGAGGGACAAGCTGTGAAGCGTCTGGCGAAGGGCAAAGCCGCTCTGTTCGACCCAAAGAAAGAGAAGAAAATCACGATCTTCTCGGCAAAGTCGTGGCCTAAGTGGCAGAAGAAGTACGTCCCTTTCCCCACCCTTTTAGCCCGAATAGGAAGGCAGCTAACAAAACCAGATACATCGACCTCCTCCGCACCTCATACCCCAATATTGACATCAAAGCCCTCAGCAAATCCATCGACAAGTCAGAATCAAAGAAAGCCATGCCCTTCATCAACAACCTGAAGCGGCGCCTCGACAACGGCGAGTCCCCCGATGCCGTCCTCAATCGCCAGCTTGCCTTCGACGAGCTCGATATACTGCGCGCTATGGTGTCAGGTCTTAAGGCTACAGTGCAGAAGTGCGTTCAAGTCGAGATCGTGTCGGTCGAAGAGGGTGGCAAGGCGGGCACCGTAGTCAATGAGGATGGTACTGAGGGCGCGAAGAAGACCGAGTTACCGCTGACTGCGATGAATGCGGAGCCTGGGAGCCCAAGCTTTGCGTTTGAGAACGTGGAGAATTTGCCTCTGCGATAGGCGACCGGGACAACGCAGTCCGGGCTTTGAGCGGCGAGTCGTGACATGGAAATGCGCGAACGACGACCGGTTTACGATCTGATAGACGCGGATTTTCGCGGATGGTTATGGTGTATGCATTGACGACAGCAGCTGGGACGTTTCACGATAGATAGACTCGACAATCACAAAAGCTCTTTTGTCCCTTGGAATTTCTTCCGACCAATCGCATGTCATTTTGTGGTGTATGACGTGTTGTCACACTGACGTCCCTTACGGATATAGAAGTCTATCGTCTAGTCATATGAACCCCAACCTCTTGGATCCATGTATTATCAGCTTTTTCTGAATGCCATTCATCACCCTTCCCCTTACAACCGAGCCCTGGGCGGACCCTCCTCGATCCTGTTGCCCTCCCTGTCAAAGAAGATCTTCTTGCCATTGTTCAACGACTCCTGCAGCGCGACACCGATGCGCACCGCCTCAACGCTGCTCTCCATCTCAACTGGCACCTTCTTATCGTCCAACACAGCGTCCGTGAACTGCCGCGCCTCCTCTACGAAAGCATGCTCAAAGCGCTCGTAGTAGTTCTGGGGGATATCCCTATGGATGCCCGTCGCAAGATGCGACTCCAGCAGCCCCGTGGTCGGATTCGCATTGACCGACAACTTGCCCGTGGTGCCAATAACCTCTGTCATATCGTGCTGGCCGGGCGGGTTCATCCTGCTCGAGTAGAAGTAGGCAATCTGCCCATCGTAGAACTCCACAATGCCCACGCCGTTGTCCACATCCCCGTACTTGGCGAGATCGGGCTCCAGCGCCGTGACGCCGACGGCCACCACGCTCTTTACTTTCGGGAGCGCCTTTTGCGGGTTGCCGGCGGAGAAGAACCAGAGCGCGAGGTCGATGTCGTGGATGTTGCAGTCGACGAAGATGCCGCCGCTGAATTGGGCGTATTGGACGAAGAAGCCAGACGGATCGTACTTGTCACATGTCTGTGAGCGGAGGATAGTGGGGCGGCCGATGGAGCCGGAGAGGGCGCTGTTGTAGGCGGCGAGGTAGGAGGAGTCGAAGCGGCGGGAGAAGCCGCACATTACTTTGAGGTGGGGGTTGGCGCGGGACGCTGCGAGGACTTTCTGGCACTGCAATTGACATCAGCTTCTGGTTTCTGGTCGGACAGATATGGGGTGGGAGGGAATGCTTGCAGGATTGGAGGGTGGGAATAGACTAAACATACCACATCCAGCTTTGTGCTTAGCGGCTTCTCGCATAGGACGTGCTTCCCCGCCTCAATTGCCTTGATCGTCTGCTCCGCATGCACGGTGGTGACAGTAGCTACGCAGACAGCCTCTAGGCCCTCGTGCTTCAACATCTGATCGTAGTCGGAGTAGATCTTGACGCCCCATGGCTCGAGGTGCTCCTTCGCCCACGCCTGCTCCTTAGGGTCTGGCGTAAAGGCTGCGACAAGCTCCGCCCGCGGCGTACGGTGTAGAAAGTGCATTGCGTGCCGGGCGCCCATGCGGCCGAGGCCGGACACGGCGACCTGGAGGCGGCGGATCTGAGGAGCCATTGTGATGAGGGGTGAGGAACGGAGAGGTCAATTGGGGGTATCCGATTGGGGGCGAGCAGCAGGACGAGAGGGAAGATGGATTGAGACGCGGAGGGGCTTCCGGCAAGAGTGCTCCTGCTGAAGATATACCGGAAGATGGATAGCTCCAGAAAATTTCCGTGGTCATAGCTCCAGGGTCCAGCGCTAGCGCAATCACAGCATCCAAACGCCGATCTCCATCCTGATCATGACAAGCTGCTCCTCCTTTCCCAATATATCTTTTGCATCTGGAAGTCCGGCCCATACTCTACATTTCCCAGTATTCTCGCCGACAATCTCCAGATTCTGCCTATCGGAACAGGCTCGGAACGACTGTTCTGGACATGAGGACCGGTGCGGGGGCGACATGCCGAGAGTATGCGTGAACGAAGTCATCGAAACGTGGGCGTGCAGACGCGTCCCTGCAGACGGTGGAGACTCGGACGCGCAGACGACGTGAATTGCTACTTTGGGCTAGCCAAGCGGACCCGAACGCCGCGAAGACGGGGAAAATTACCACGATCGGAGCAGAGATCTGCCCCGCACGGAAGATCTGACAGTTGGAGATGCCTCGAGATGGGACGAGACGAGACATGGCGTTCTTAGGCACGTGTGTCGGAGGTAGGTTCAGATGAAGATGAGGATGCACCGGTTTGGAGTCGTGATTATCAGCTCATGCTGAGGAAGCTGAGGAGCAGCTCGTATTCAGAAACGGCAATCGTAGCCGCGTGAATGCTTGTGCACGTGGGGTACCCCGCTATACGTCACTCACGACAGTTTGATCAAGGTTCAGAGTAGCAGCAGCAATCTTGTACATTGCGTAAGGCGGCTCTAACTCTCAATCTAATGGACTCCCTCAGATTTTGCAACCCCAAACGCCATCCGTCTCGGACATTTACAGATTCGCTTTCTCCTCACCAGTCTCCAACACGACCTTGATAACCAAGTTCCCTTTATCGTCCTTCGTCTTCCCAGCCATATCAAATGCCTCCTCCGCGGACTCAAGGCCTTTATATCTGTGCGTTACGAGCTTCGAAAAGTCTGGATAGTCCGGTCCTTTCTTCGACACGACCTCGACACCAGTGGGATACGTGTTCGCGTAGCGGAAGACGCCCATGATGTCGACTTCACGCAGAGCCGCGGCAGAGATGGGGAGCGTTTGAATGGGAGTGCCCATACCGATCAGCAGTACCTTGCCTCCGTTTCGCGTCACCTATGGCGCGTCAGTAATCACCAACCGTTCAGAGCAACAGTCACAGCTTACATATATGGAGGCCTGTACGCATGACGGCACGCCAGTGCACTCAAACACCGCATCTACCTCCCCCACCGGCCCGCCGCTCACTTTCGAAATCTTCCCAATCTCCGCAGCCGTCTCTTTCGCGATCTCAAGGTTTTCTTCTATCGTATTCCCCCGCTTCAGCGGCACAATGAACCCTCGGTGTGCAAACTTATTCTCTACAGCAAAGTTTACCCGTCCAGCGTCGATATCCGCTATTATCACTGTACCAGCGCCGGAGATCTTCGCCATTGCTGCGACTAGGAGGCCGACTGCACCGGCTCCAAATACGAGCACTATTGAGCCTGCCGGGAGCTGCGCTCGTTTCGACGCTTGAATCGCAACACCTAAAGGTTCCAGAAGTGCCCCAAGTTCGAGCGATACATCATCCGGAAGCCTGGTCAGCGTCAGCAGGCGTGTATGCGAAATCGTTCAAATGCCTCACTTATGACACCACGCCGCCGGATGGTTGATCCGATCCTGGAGCGTTCCCTGCGCATGTGGAAATGCCTTCGCGCTACTCCTAAAGTTCATGCCTTTGCAGATATTGTACCTTCCTTCTTTACACCTATCGCACTGCTCACACGGCAAGCCAACTTCGAGCGCAACCTTGTCTCCAACTTTGAAGTTCTTGACTTCCGAACCGACGTCCACTACAATCCCGGCGGATTCATGGCCCAATGACATGGGCTCGTGGACGATGATGTCCCCATTCCGATAGTGCCGGTAGTAGTGCAGGTCGGAACCGCAGAGGCCGGTTGCGCGGACGGCGATTTGGAGGTCCGTGGGACCTGGAGGGAAGAGAGAACGGGTTTCCTGCGGCAGTGTTAGCAAGACGTTGTGCTTCTTGGGGCTGTGGAGTTGTACAATTCTGAGATCCTTTGCGCCGTGAAGGACTGAGGCCCGAATCTGCCTTGCATTCTGCCCGACATCTGGTCTCTCCTCTGTAGCCATACTTTGCTCAAATTCCTGCTACAATAGAAATGGTGTAAAACAACACGAGACGAAAAGTACAACTAAATAACTTGAGGAAGCAATTGCAGAATCAAAGCACAAGAACAAAGGTTAGAAAGAGAACTCGGAGCCATAGCTCGGCCGCAAGACGCCACGTCAGGCGCACTCCCTCGGCGAGCCTTCCCCAGAAAAGAAAAAACCACATGAAGCAGCGTCGTTGGGGAGAAATTCCTTCTCCGGTCTATGCTGTCCCGCATTTTCAAAAGCCGAAGGTGGCGGGGTACCCCTTTCCGAGCAATCCGATCTTCTTCCGAGGAACGCACCACGTCACTTCAAACGCCGACGGTAGCCCCACTAGCTGTTTTCCTTCAGAGTTCGAGGAATTGCTTTGCTGGTGAGACGCTGATTTACTTTTTATTCTATTGTTCAATTGAGTTGTCTTTTGGGCGTACGAGTGCTGTAAGGCTGGAGCGGATCCAGACGCATCTTCAGAACCGTTCCGAAGGGACATCAGACCAAAGCAACAAGATGCCTTCAGTGCAGGAACTCTTCTCGCTCGAGGGCCAAACAGCCCTCGTGACAGGCGGCACACGAGGCATCGGACAGTCAATGGCGCTCGCCCTCGCAGAAGCAGGAGCAGACATCCTCCTCGTCCAGGTACACGCTCCCGTCTACATCTCACCTAAGGAACATCACACAAGGCTAACCTCCTCACTACAGCGCGACACCTCAAACCAGCAAACCCTCCAAGAAATCTCCAAGCTCGGTCGCCACGCGCAAATCTACGTCTGCGACCTCTCCACCCCCTCCTCCGTCTCCGCCCTGATCCCCACAATCCTAAAAGACGGGCATAAAATCCGCATCCTGCTCAACTGCGGCGGCATCCAAAAGCGACATCCCGCCCACCAGTTCCCGGACGCAGACTGGTCCGCCGTCCTGCAAGTAAACCTCACCAGCGTCTTCACCCTCTGCCGCGACGTCGGCGCGCACATGCTCAGCCAGCCCGCCGCAACACTCCCCGGCGCACGTCGCGGCGCCATCATAAACGTCGCCTCGCTGCTCAGCTTCCAGGGCGGCTTCACGGTGCCGGCGTACGCGGCGGCCAAGGGCGGCGTCGCGCAGCTGACCAAGGCGCTGAGCAACGAGTGGGCGAGCAAGGGGATCAACGTGAATGCGATTGCGCCGGGGTACATCGCGACGGAGATGAACACGGCGCTGATGGCGGACGAGGCGCGCGCGAAGAGCATTCTGGAGCGGATTCCGGCGGGGCGGTGGGGCGAGCCGGCGGATTTTAAGGGCGTCGTGGTGTGGTTGGCGAGTGCGGCGAGTGCGTATGTGAGTGGGGAGGTGGTTACGGTGGATGGGGGGTGGATGGGGAGGTAGCTTGTCTGGGTTGGCAGTCTAGGTTTAGCGAGGTTAGAGCTGTGTTGCTGTAGATTTGGTTTCTTTTTATTATATAGATGAACTTAATTTGATTTGGTCGTGGCATGCTGCTTCTAGTTTCCTATCTCTCTGATGACTTCTTCTAGTCACCCTTCAGTGCTCTAAATCTATGTCGACGGGGCTGGACATATTTGTACCAGTCCTACTCCCCCAGCTTGTCAATAACCAAGATACAGCGCCACGACGTTCAGTTCTAGCTCTTCACCCAAGAAGCCTTCTCAGGCTCCCAATTTGCCCTGATAGACTAACGGCAACGTCGCACTTTGCACAGGAGCGATGATCAAGGAGCTTTGACAGAGGTACGGGCATGCAAGAGGACTATTGGATCGGAGGGAAGCACATCTATTCATCTTTTGGTGGGGGATGAGACAACATTGATGTAAGAGACGCATGGGACATTCCAAGAGCTAAATTTTTCTCTATTGCCACAGATCTGGTCTATATAAGGGGTATAGGTTCACCAAATTTTACACTCATCATGTCTCATGAAACTGGTAATCAACCACTCAGATCCATGCCATCAGGCTTGTCTGGAAAGCCGGCATTAACGCCGAAGGGCGGGTACACGAAACGAGTAAGACCTTGCTTCTTGTGAATGCCTTCCAGCTTCGCCATGTCCGAATCGTCGAGCGAGATGAGCTTGCGGTTCTCGTCGATGCGAGCGGGCGTCACAGATTTGGCGAGGACGGCGGAGCCGCGGGCAACTGACTGTGTAAGCAACACTCAAGACGTCCGGAAGAAGAGACTCACGGTGATAGCTGAGCAATACAGTTCCAGGACCGACATTGTGCTTCTTTGCGACCTCGTTCACTGCCTCATCCTTGAACAGCGGCGAGCCTGTGCTACCAAGCGGGCTGTACGCGATAATGAGGATGCCCTTCTGCTTGCAGAAGTCGACGATCTCTTGCTGCGGGAGGAGCGGGTGGTTTTCAATCTGGTTCACGGCGGGGACAATGGTGGCTTGCGCGAGGAGCTTCTCGAGGTACTTGACCGAGTAGTTTGCAACACCGATAGCCTTGACCTTCTCCGGGTGTGTTTGGATGAGCTTCTCGAGGCTCTTCCAGGTCTGTATGTGGTTTGTGCTGTGGTCGATATCGCGCGAGCCGTCGGGGAGCTTGGGGAATAGAGGATGGTTCCCTATGGACGTCAGTTGGTCCCAATTCGTATCCCGACATCGAGGAGGCCTACCTCTGGGGTTCATAGGCACCGGCCAATGCATCAGAAACAAATCCAGATACGGCGTCTTCAGTAGATCCAAGCTCTTCTGTAGCCCCTCCTCTGTCCTCGTGTGGAATGTGCACCACAGCTTGCTCGTGATGAACAGATCCTCCCGCTTGACGATGCCCCGCGATATTACGTCCTGCAGCGCCTCGCCCACCTCATCCTCGTTCTGATAGCAGTATGCGCAGTCAATGTGCCTGTATCCCGCCTCAATGGCATGCACAACGGCCTTCTTAACCTCCCCCGGCGCAGACTGCCACGTCCCCAGCCCGAGGGCGGGCATCGAGGCGCCGGTGTTCAGATGCAGCGCGGTGTTCATGGTAGGCGTAGGGTGTAGTATATGTTTCGGGGTGCGAGCAAGCATGAACTTGGAGAGCGAGGGATTCATGGCGGAGCGCGGGCGTAGAGGTATTTGTAGCGGTGGGGTGTTCGGCCCATTGCCCGACGATCCATCTATTCCTGTGGTGTGGTGTGGCTTGGGAGCTGCTCCCTGCTCCGGGCTGGGAAGGGTAAAGACGGTTGTCTGCCTGTGATTGATGAGATTAATTCTTCCGCTGCCCCACCACCGGCCTATTCTCGGTCCGGTGGCGCCCCGGATGAATGTTGATGCGAGCCGGGCGGCTTTGCACTTCGCGAAAGGAATTTTCGTCTGATCAAACATCGCCTCTCATCGGTGGATGCTGGACCGAGCTTCACGTGGAGGCGTCTTCGTCACCGTGGGCGCCGCAACCGTGTGATCAACGCCTCCTCTCCATGGGCGCCCCAACAGCCAAGCGCCCGAGTTCATGTAGCGGCGAGAATTTCCTCGTTGGGCCGAAATAGGAACCGTATACGCCATCGCACATCCAGGAACAGGCGGGGTCAGTGGCCCTCTGATCGTCCCAGGTCTAAGAAAATCTAGTACCCTAGCACCCAACCACCTCCTTGCCGCTTCCATGGTTGAGGGGTAAGCCGTCTTTCCAGAACCCAGGGCTGCTTCGCTCGCCTGAAGGCTGTCTGGGGAGCGGGGAGAATTTCCTCAGACTGGCTTCTCGGGGCCTTTGATGTAAGGGTCTACGAAGCGGCGCCGTTACGTGTGGAGCCAGAAGATGGAGACACGCAGATTCTGTCTACGTTGGTAGGCTGGCGGTATCTCGGTCGCTGCGTGGTGTTGCAGTATTGCTTGATGGTGTTGAGTGATACCCTGCGTTGCAGACTTGCTTCTCCTTGAAGGCGACAAAGGATAAGTACCACTCTTCTCATCGCTCAAGTTGATAATCACGTCCATCAAATCCTCTCACCCATCCCATATATCATCTTATCCCCTTATCATCTTATCCTCTTTGAGCCTTGCTCTACTTCTTTCCTTAACCTTTGCATTTCTTGAGATACCCATCACATTCTCCATCCTTCACAATGGCACCCGCCGCCCTCGTCGAAACCCCCAACATCGCTGAGCCCTTCAACAAGCGCGATGGCCTCGCGCTCGAAGCCACCTCAGACGCCATCGACGACGTCAACGTGCTCAAAGCCGCCCTGAAAGTCAAGAACGGCACCGCCACCCAAGCCGAGAAGGACATCTACTCGCAGTCGCAGTTCGACGCCCAAAAGGACAAGACGCAGTTCCGCCAGTACGAAGAAGCCTGCGACCGCGTCAAGAACTTCTACCGCGAGCAGCACGAGAAGCAGACCGTGGCCTACAACCTCAAAGCCCGCAACGCCTTCTACAGCAAGACGCGCGCGGAGATGACCATCTGGGAGGCCATGGAGAAGCTCAACACGCTCATCGATGAGTCCGACCCGGATACCTCGCTCTCCCAGATCGAGCACTTGCTCCAGTCCGCCGAGGCCATCCGCCGCGACGGAAAGCCCCGCTGGATGCAGCTCACGGGCCTGATCCACGACCTCGGCAAGCTGCTCTTCTTCTTCGACGCTCAGGGCCAGTGGGACGTCGTCGGCGACACGTTCCCCGTCGGCTGCGCCTTTGACCGCCGCATCATCTACCCAGATACCTTCAAGGGCAACCCAGACTCCGCCAACGAGATCTACAGCACCGAGCACGGCATCTACACGCCGGGTTGTGGTCTCGACAACGTCATGCTGAGCTGGGGCCACGACGAGTATCTGTACCACATCATGAAGGCGCAGAGCACGATCCCGGACGAGGGTCTGGCCATGATCAGGTACCACTCTTTCTACCCGTGGCACAAGGAGGGTGCGTACCGGTGGATGATGGACGAGAAGGACCACAGGATGCTGGACGCTGTTAAGGCGTTCAACCCGTATGACTTGTACAGCAAGAGCGATGAGGTGCCCAAGGTGGAGGACCTCAAGGTACGTTCCTACCTTACCCTCCCTTCTCTCATGCACCGCTGTTGGATGGGCTTGTGCTAATTATAACTTAGGATTACTACATGGACATCATCGACGAGTTCATCGGCAGAGACAAGAAGATCAAATGGTGAAGTATCTGTCACCACCTTGGTTCATGGAGGCGATTCCGGCCTTTTCTGGATAATGAGGGTTTGGGCATTTCTTGTATCGTTAGTTCATAAGTAGCGGGCACGGAGCGCCAGAAAGGCCCGTGGATGAAAAATATCATGGCGATCTTCACACAATTGGACACCTTAGGGGTCATGTTGTGATTCTTATATGGTTCAAATTCGCCTGATCAAGCTTTATATCCTCAGATACAGTGCATTTTTTCCCTATCCCTGGTATGTCCATCTCAAGCCAATTGAACGCCTGTCATGCCTCTCATGCAATTTGTCCATGGCAAATCATAACCCCGAGCGCCTTAAATACCCCGTCGGGCTACCAACCAGCACTAAAGTGCGCCAAGCACCGCGTGTCCTTCAGACATCGACAGAGTCCTCGTCATCCTCATCTTCAACGCGAGCGTGCTTGTTACCTGCTTCCACAGATTTCGCCTCCCCAGCTTCCCTCGTCTCTTCCTTAGCATGATCCTCCTTCGAAGCCTCAGCACCGCTCTTCAGCTCCGCCGCCGCTCCAGCGTCCTCGTCAGTCGTCTTCGCGGGAGTACCAGATGTTGCAAAAGATGATGATGCAGGCACCTTCCGTGCCCCCTTCCCAATCGTTTTATTCAAGATGGCGAGCTTGCAATGATCGCACTCCGTCTCCTCGACCCTAGCGCAGGCATCGCACCGTCGCGCCTGCTGCTCAGCCTCTCGGTGCAGACAGATATCCTTGCGGCATGTGTCGCAGACTACGTGCTTCCCATTTTTGGCATAGTGGTTGGTGACTTGGTCGGTAGGTACCTCCGTCGCGGGTCCGATAGTGGAGAGATTTGCGAACTGGCAGTAGATGCAGGGAGTTGTGGATGCTTTGTCGGCGCAATTGTCGCATATCTTGCTGGCTTGTTCGGCCGCGGTGTGAAAAATGAGGTGTGTGCAGCAGACTGTGCAGGTTTTGCGATTGGCTAAGGTGGAGGAGGCGTTGTCGCCTGTGGTGGTGGGCTCGGGGGCAGTGGTACCGGAGGCTTGGGACGGGGTCGTCGATGGTTTGGGCGCGGCGGTGAAGGGGTTGGGGCCGGGAGCTGTAGGAGGTGGCGCGGCAAAGGAGTTGGCAAATGATGGGTTTGTGGACGGGGGTGGTGCGATGTTGAAGAGGCCGGTGCCTAGAGAACTTGGAGTCGGTGCGAAGGGATTGGGGTTCGATGCGCTGCTGGACTGTGTGCCGAAGCCGCTTGCACTAGAGCTGTCGAAAGCGTTGGTCCTCGGCGCGCTGTTGGAGAGTCCGCAATAGCCAACATTGCTTGGAGCATTGCTGGAATGCGTCACGGGTTTACCAAACAAGTCCGTAGCTGATAGGCTTGTAGACGGTGCCCCGAATGGCGATGCACGACCCTGAGGCGCCGAGCTTGGGAAGAGACCACCAGGTGTGACTTTCGGTTGCGAGGACGGATTTCCGAACAAAGAAGGCTTCGGTTGATCGTTGGGACGTGCTGATCCGAACAACCCAGGTGATGGGGTGTTATCCGTCGGACAGAGGCCAGCGAACAGCCCGCCTCTAGCTGAGCCCCGCACATAAGGAGCAGGAGCAGTTCCAGACAAGCCTGAGGGGTGTGCGGGTGGAGTGCTACCGAATGCGCCTGTAATATGCGGTCCAGATGGAGCGGCTTGGGTACTGCCAAAGAGACCAGAAGAGGGTGCTGAGTGAGCATTTCCGAAGAGGCCGGAAGTTTGCGCAGTTTGTGTATTGCCAAATAGACCTGTAGAGGGCGCCGGGGAAGCAGCTGGAGCACTACCAAACAGGCCCGTAGATGGTGCGGATGGTGCTCGCCCGAAGGGTCCGGAGGAGGGCGCAGGCTGTGGATCACCGAATAAGCCAGAAGTTGGCCGATTGTTCTGAGCATTGGAGCTTCCAAATAGGCCACCGCCGGAGGAAGAGGCAGGGGCGACCCCGGAGAGACTTGTGCCCGCGGTTGAAGTATGTTGACCCAAGTTGCCGAATAAGCCTCCTCCGGTATTGCTGCTCGAGCCAAATAAGCCTCCGCCTGGATTGACCCGCTGAGTCAATCCACCGAAGAGGCCTCCGGACGTATTGCTTTGCCCGAACCCGGCCGAGCTAGACGAATTTCCGAATAATCCTCCGCCAGGTCGCTGGCCGAAGAGATTTAAGGGATCACGGGACGAGGATGGTGTTCCGAACAGCCCACCGGTGAGCTGCTTGTTTCGCGAGAGGTCGACATACTCCTTGTACCCGCCCTCGGTGGTCGCCGAGGGCTTGGTTCCAAAGAGGCCCCCTCCACCCAGGGTGCTCGGCGTTGATTTGTCCCAGGGATATCCAGCAAAGCCGTTGGAGTTCGTGAGACCAGTTCGTCCAGCTTCCATGTCTGCCTTACGAACTTCTTCGAATGATATATCTTTGCGAAAGTAAGGTTTGATGCTCTGGAAGTGTTGGAGGCCTTGGGGAACACGGCCATCTGGTTCGATATGAGTGCACGGTTCACCCCTGAACTCCAGCTGTTGGCGGTAGTCCTCAGCAGTCAGACTAGTGTTGTTGTTCATTGAAAGAGGCCCGCTGCCAAACCCACAAAACGCAGATGGAGCCGGTAGCGGATTGCCGAAGAGAGGTGGATGTACCGCGTTCGCTTGTGTATTAGTTGTCTCGGGACCTGATTCATTCTCGGGTGGACGAGCCGCCTTCAACACGAAAATGACCGGTTTTACTTGGAAAGTTCCCATCTTAGTCACTAAATCGACCGGCCGCCCATGCTGAACCGCCATAATGTAACCGTGGCGGTCCTTGGCATGAATCTGAATCAATCGCAGTTGTTCGGAATGCAGCTCACCCAGAGTGTCAAGGACTGAGTGGTCGAGCCCAAGCTTCCGCATATGCGCCTGGATCTCTTCGTCATCTAGGCGGAGTTGCTCGATCTTGTACGTCAACTTGATTGCTTGGTGGATATCCTCGCAGAGCGGACGGAGGATGTACGCCTCGAGATTTAGGGAGGAATCTGTGCGGTTTGGTGCAACAGTCCGTGTGGGTAAAGCGAGGCCGATACCGCCAGAGGGTGGAGAGAGAGATGCATCGTCAGGCTTGGCGGGTTTAGCATCCCCAGAGATAGAAGCACCGCTCTCTGGAGCCGCATGCTGGGTGCTAGTTACCACATTTGCCTTCTTCTCTGAAGCCTGCTCCGTTTCCGGCTTTTCCGATGGGCCTTGAGTAGAGCCGGAAGACAACTTGGGATCTTTCTCCGCTGACTCTTCTGGCTTAGGTGTTGACTTAGAATCGCTAGACGATGTCTGCGACTTGGTGTCCGGAACGGTTTCAGCTCCAGTAGCTTCAGAAGCGTCCACGTGCGTGGTATCGTCATGGCCAGCAGCGGGAGTGTTTTCGCGCGTAGAATGCGGGGTAACAACCGGGCTGCCCGCAGAAGGCACGGTCGGCGGAGGAGCGTCCATGTTCTCGTGCTTGTAGCCTTCCGGCAGTAGAGATCGCAGTTGGTAGTCTTGAATACTGTTCTGTGCGACGAAGTGGGGCGGCCAGCAACCAAACATACACACGTTGGGATATTTGCCCTCAGCACTACAAACCATCCGTTAGCAAACTCGCCTATCCACATAGTAGAAGTCAAACTCAACATACCTCCATCGATGCCTATCAGCCTCCGCTTCCTCAAAGCTCTTGTCAAACTTAACGGCCGGATCCGCAGGCCAGAGCTGCACTTGCCGACCTTTCTCCCGCAGCGGGAAGTCAGGATGTCCGTACCTGCCGCGGAAGCCTATCGGGTGTTGAAGATCGATGATGTCGCGCGCTTGATATGGAGGTGGGGAGGGCGGTCGAGCAACTGGCGTTGGGAAACAGAGAGGTCCGGGCTGAGGGAGATTTATAGGTGCGGGCGCTCCGGGAAGTGGTGGTGAAATGGCGAGTCCGGGAATCTTTTTGTACTCCGGGTGCTTGAGCGCCTCGCGCAGTCGAAGGCACTCGACGAACTCCCAATCCGACCTAGTGAAGTCATGTTAGCGTAAGACGCAGTGAATAGAAGAGTTAAAACTTACAGGTACCCGCGTCGAGACAACTGCTCTGCTCTCGCTGCGCTCACAGCCACAACAATATTGTGAAAGCATTCGTGAAGAGTGGATTGCGCAGAGCCCGCCAAATCCGGGGGGAAAGCGTCGATAACACGAGAGGGGTCTTGCATATCTCCGTCCTTTCCTGGGAGAGGCGGCACCCTTGTATCCACCTCCTGCACCACCTCCCCGATCTTCTTGATGATCCAGTCACACTCACCCACGCTTCTGGATAGAATCGCAACCTGCTCGGGACTAAAGACCGGAGCATCCGGGATGCTCATGGACAACTGGCTCTTCAGCGCAGGAAGAAACCCGACAATGGCAAACAACTTCTCTGCAATACCGACAATGCGTCCATTCTCCCGCGCGAATGGAAGATGAGCGAGTGTGTGGAGGAAGAATGCGGCATATTTCCCGGCGAGTTCGAAAGCATCGATCTCGCGGATGAGTTGGGCTGAGTCGGTGGTGGGTTCCATGACTACCATCTCAACCTTCCTCAGCATGAAGGAGTCTGTGATTGGCTATAATAAAGGAAAAGGATTCCGAAGCACAGGGTCGAGGGACGGCGCGGAGACGGCGTCTGGACGGACGGGACTCTGCGATAGAGAGGAGCGAGCTCAGGAAAACGACGAGAACATAAAAGAAGGTATAGAGGAAGAGAACAACGCGCCTTCCTTCTCCGACTATTAGTCGTTTATATCCTCCTCACGAAGGCAAACAAAACGCCGCAGGCACCCGTCTAGGCTTCGGTCAGGCTACAACCTCGCCAAGTCTCGAGTCGTTTCAGCTCGCGTAAACTTGCCATAGCCTACCCCCTTCGAACCAGCATCCTCAAAGCGAAAGAAATCCATTAAAACTTACATCTTTCCCACAACCTGCTGCGCGACATTCCACTACCCTAGCCTCCTCTTCCGATCGTGGCCATCGTTATTGTTGCGCGAGGTGCAGGGGTGCCTTCCAGGTCCCCAGCCCCCAAACACCCCAGCGGTGGATCCCGAAGTGAGCCGCGCGCAGATCATGTCAGCAGCGCCAGAGCAAGGGGTGGGGCTGGAAAGGTAAACTTAACTTCACCTCTCACGCTGTTCGAAGCGTGCCTCGTTCTTCTCCATGAAGAGGACCATCTCGCCTTCATGAGACCCGCTTCGAGGCTGTTGAGATGGAACCCTCCCCTGGCCAACTGTACTCAGAGCGCCTGAGACGGACACAGGCTTGTACTACGGTTGCATGCCATGCGTCACCTCGACGCACCTTTCGTTAACGACCGAGTCTCATGGGAACACCGCAGCAAGTCGTGGCACGAAAAAGAAGCAGACGTAGTGTAAGTGAATATTAGTCATTTGGTATTAGCTACGGCACTCATAGGGCCACCCGGTCATCCCGCAAAGAGGGTATCAAAGCGCTGCAACCTAGCGCATGCATCGAGAGACATGTACGGCGTAATGCGTCGTGAACATCATACCGCCTCCTGAGCAAGGTGAAGAGAAGGAAAACACCCGGGCAAGGACTGACTGCGCTGAAGCGTAGACAATGCATTGACGACCCAAACAATTACAAAGAAAGCCAATGCCCTCCTCATATGGTCACCCTTTCAGGTACCAACATTTTAGACATTATACCATCGAGCAAGGGCGTCGGACTTCGCCTCGAGGTAGGCGCTTAGAGCAGCAGCCAAGCAGCCATGCCAGCAGCACCAGCGAGTGGGAGGGCAGTCATCTTGGGAGCGCCTCCAGTCGACTCGGCACCAGTTCCAGAGCCAGTCGGAGAGCCCGTGATGGACTCGAGCGCCGAGGAAATGCTGGAGGCAGCACTCGAGGCGGCGTCGCTTGCACTCGCGGCAGCGGAAGAGGCGGCTGAAGCGGCTGAGGACCTGTGTTGCTGTTAGCTTGAAGGTAGTGACTGTCTGGGTTGGGAGGGACGTACTCAATCGAGGAGAGGGCCGATTGGGCAGATCCAGTGGCAGATGCTAATTCGGAGCCGAGTGAAGAGGCAATGCTGGAAGCCGCACCACCAGTGCCAGACGGCATGGTGGTCATGGTGGTGTCGGCACCGGTAGCGGTAGGCGTAGCCGTACCAAGGGCGGACGACAGTATACCGAGAGCTCCCGTAGAGACCGCAGAAGCTGACGCACCGCTCGCCGAGGCAGCAGCAGCTGGAAGTTTGTCAGTGAAGAGTCGGGGCTGGAAAGCGGGCGAGGACTTACAGGCGCAGTAGCTGGTGCCGAATGAGATGGCTGAGGCAGCATCGTCGGCGGAGCAAGCCTCATTGGAGCAATCACGAACGCCATATCCGAAGCGCGCCTCGCTGCAGTAGCAGACGACATCGCCAGATGCGCAGCCGAATGTGGATTGCGCGATGGCGAGCATGTTGGTGATGCAAGTTTGCTATTCCCTCATCAGCATACAACGGACGAAGACGGCAGCGAGCCAGCTGTGCGCTCGCAGAGAGGTGCACTTACACCACACGGAGGGAGACTACCGATGTCCTGGGCAAGGGCGACGCCGGCAGCGACGAGGAGAGCGAATGACCTCATCTTGTCGGTGGGTGGGTGGGTGAGTTGATGTCGAGGAAGATGCTGACTAGGAGCTGGATAGGATACTGCAGGATATGGAGGAGAGAAGGTAAGCGTCGGCAAGGAGCTGCTGGCTGAGGGTGTTGTGCGTTGAGGATGTTCGGGCGAGGGAATCGATGGGCGCAGGAAAGGAGTTCTTATGGGGAGCGGGCAAACAAACAGGCTAACGGGCGAGTGGCTGGTGCAGGTGAAGGCAGGTGAAGTGGCAGCTTCCAACTTTTCCCGGCTTTCTTGCAGCGACGAAGTCAAACGTGGAGGCTGCCGGTGGTTGGTGCCGGCCATCATGGCCAGAGTTCGCGTCGACATGACGACAGGGATCAAGCTCTGGGGGCAGGCGCGATCGCCACACCAAACCAAGGAAATGCAGGAACTGCGGCCGCCAGCGCAGCGTCCCATTGGCCAATTGCTTCCGACTCCCGTGTTAGCGGCCAGTTGCCAGAGCGCAGGCCCCTCTCATGATGATGATGTCGTGAGGCAGATGCGTGAGGCGGCTACGCGGCGCTCGCTCCACATGCGTGTACTACTGCGTGCGGTCCGCAACAAGCCCAGCGCATTCACCTTTCTGTGCGCCGTAGCTGAGCGTTCGCACACTCTCACAAACACGTTCGTCTCGCGGACAAATATCCCTCTGCGCCCAGGCCTAGCTCCAGGAGAAGTGCAATTTAAGCGTGGTCGAGTCGAGCTCTACGCGGGCGTGACCTTGGTGTGATGGTCAAACAACCATTGAACTGGCCTTCATTCCCAGTCCAATCTCCCACGGCCACAGCTCCGGGGTTCCCATTCTCACCTGTCATTGTGTTCCAGAACCTCTCCATCGCCCGTTCGCCCCCGCCAACCACTTATCCCGCGCATCCAGTCCACGTCGGCTATGTGGCGCAGACACTACCCTGCAGCAAGGGAAATGTGTGTCTTCGCACCACCCGCCTGCGCCGTCGAGTTAGAGTCGTCCTGCGCGTTGCCTTCGCCGTCCGTCTGCTCGCCGAGATGCTTCTGCTCAGCTGCTGTGATGCATTGCATATTCGCGCCTGTACAGTGCGAGTCAGAACAAGCGGTCTGCCCGTGCGCGTTAACCCAAAAAGCATACCCAGTTTATTGATCGTCTCGACCCACTCGTCGTATGGATCTGAGTCGAACACAATCCCGCCCTGGTGTGGCTGGTTAGCGACCGCTTCAAAAGCAAGATCTACTTTATCGGCCCTACCCCGGCCTGAAGATAAGCGATCCCATCTTTGACCAGCATCGTCCTCAGTGTGATGCACGTCTGCGAAACATTGGCTATTAGCGGGCGCAGGCGCACATATACGAAGATGCGAGCGTACTTACGTCCATCGCGCCCTCGACCTCTTTGTCACCATCAATGCTGCCGTAGCCAAAGTATCCCACAGCGCCAGCGTAGACGCCTCGCTTCTCTTTTTCCAGTTCGGCGATAAGCTCCATAGCGCGCACTTTCGGCGCACCGCTCACCGTGCCTATTCGTATCTTATTAGCCAGATTTCCCACATTCGCTGGAATTACGTACCAGCGGGGAAGATGGACCGGAATGCGTCGAAGCGCGTCTTTCCTGGTCGTAGCACCCCGGAGACCTCAGAGACTAGATGCTGCACGTGCGAAAACTACAACGGTCAGTTCCTGCTCAATAATAGGACCACAAGATGGAACCATGACGGAGCAGCTACCTTTTGCACGACCATCAATTTGTCGACACGTGTGGTGAGCGGGTCGCAGACGCGGTTTACGTCATTACGTGCCAAATCGACTAGCATGACCTGTAATGTCAAAGTAAGCCCTGGTCCCCACAACGACCAACGGAACCCACATGTTCGGCCCGGTCCTTGATAGAGTTGGAAAGCTCATCCGCTAGAGCCGCGTCTTCTTGGAGAGTCTTGCCTCTCTTGACGGTGCCCGCGATCGGATGCGTGATTATTCTTCCTAGCTCCTCCTTGACCAGTAATTCTGGGCTTGCACCCACGATTTGAAACTCATCGCAGTCGACATAGAAGAGGTATGGCGATGGGTTGACGTTTCGCAGATGGCGGTAGATGTTGAACGGATGCAATGATGTAGGTCTCGCGAACCGTTGCGACGGTACGGCTTGGATGATGTCGCCCACATTAATATGCTCCTTCAGCCGTCTGACATGGCTTTCGTATCCGTCTTTTCCAATGTTAGACTCGTATTCTTGCCCTAGTTTGATCGGCGGCTGCTCCGGTAAGGGCACCTCTTTATCCTTGAGTATGGTTATGTATCTCTTCAGTGTTCCCTTTGCCTCCTCGTACGCCTTGGCAAGGTCGTCTAGAGTCTCCGGGACCTTGACGTACGTTATGACCTTGACAACCTGGGCAAAGTGGTCTAACGCCACCACGGTGTCGAACAACATGAAGAGGCTCTCCGGGACGCCTAGTATATCCTTGATATCGTCGCGTCGCGTCTTTGGCTCAAAGTATCTGACGCAGTCATATCCGACGTATCCAACAGCCCCGCCGGTCAAAGGAGGTAGTTGTATTGAAGGGACGGTCGCAACGCGGCTCTTTGCGAGCTCCTTCTCGAGGATAGGTAGAGGGTCTTTCTCCTCGCCATGGCCGGGGCCGGTCTTTATAACTTTGCGCGGGTCTACGGCCTAGTCAGCATGTACCGAATGATATGAAACAAGCCACAGACCTGCACCCACAAAGCTATATCTCCCGATTGTCTCTGTGGTTGCCGCGCTCTCGAAGAGGAATGATAGTTTCGATTTCGATCTATGCCCTGTCAACCTCGCTCCTCATGTCGTGCCGTCCAGCATCCGCCGGAATGAGTCACCAACTCACTTCGCAGAGATCTTGAGATATATGCTCGACGGTGTGAGGAACTCCGCTGAAATCGACGAAAAAACAGGAACAAGGTTCGGCGGATTGGGCGATGCGACCGCGGCAGCCAAAACTTCTCGAACGGTGTCGAGCGAAGGCTGGACGCCGAGCTAGTGGTACGGTCATGCGGTCAGTTTGCGTGCCCACTATTGGCCTGCGAGTTCATAATTCAATTGAGCACATACCTGTGACGCCATGATTCCCGTACTGTATGAGATCTGGAGGCTTGTAGAATAGTGAGGAGAGTGCGAATCCGCGGTACTGCAACGGTGCGTATTGAAGCCAGAAAACATGGGAATATGCGGATTCCCACGGTTGCGGAGCCAATCGGAGCCGATTGGATATTCGGCGTTCCGAGAGCGGGGCGGGACCGTGCGAGCTCCCACCAGTTCCCAGCCTCTCAAAGACCTTGCCTGCACGCACGTCAGAGCAGTCCAATCCACCCCGCATATGCTATAGCGAAGCCTATCAACCCCAGTCCGCCCATCTCGTTCCCGTCACATATCTACTGCTCTGATCTGCGACCGCCCCCAGCACTCTGCGACTCCGCACACACACATCCAGAGCGCATTTGGAGGGGACGATGCGGCCAACTTTCAAGTACAACAGCGCCAACGCCATGAACTCGTCGCCACTCCCTGTGCGACCGTGGACGCCACCGGACACAGATATAGAATCGATGTCGCATTCAGACTACTTCTCGGATCCCTTCAGGGCGTCCCCAGTCCCCGCCGACGACCTGGAGGACCTTTGGCCGCTCTCGCCTGGTGTCCCATCCACGCCGCCGAAGATGAGCGACTGCCACGACCCTCCAACTCCCATCTCGCAAGCTAGACCGAAGCCCATCTCGAGCGTCACAGAGCCGTACACACCCACGAAAGCCTCCAGCCTCGGTGATGCGCACTCGCAGGATGGCATGCCGCGATACCCATACACGCCTGACAGTGCGCGCACAACCCGCACCTACACGTACCCCTCTCTGTCTCCGCTTGCGCCCATGCCATGGGACACAGACCCACAGTACCCGCAATCTCCTGTCCAAGACGCGCTTTTCTCTTGCCTATCGCATCTCGAGAACCTAATTCAGACCCGGCAGCCAAACGCTGACCAGATGGAATACCTTATTTCGCAATTCGAAGCAATGGCCTCTTATCTCTCCGCGCCTGAAGCGCAATCGCGACAATCGGATGACTATCTGTTCTCTGAGCTCGAACTACCCTCGAATACTACCGGTCTTGGAATCACCACGCCGAACGGCGCGGAAGTCCCAAATGGGGAGCAGAATGCAAGCGTCGACAGCATGATGGATAGCTATGTCCTTGAAGTGGGGAAGTACATTGAGGGCGTGAAGAAACATACTGAAGATTTGACCATGAGGATGGATGAGCAGAAGCAGCTGAACTCGATCCAGCTTGAAATCATCAACGATCTGCGGCGAGAATTGAAGGAAAAGCAAGCCACCATGACACAGAAGCCTTCGACAGAGCAATCTCCCGCGAAACCGAAGCAAGAGCCGGATGATTCGAAGGACTTCGTTCAAGGGAATGGCTTCTTGGTTGCCGTTGGAGAGGCGCTTGATGCCGTCGGAGATATGATATACGAGTGGTAATTTTCTTGCTTTTGGGTGGTTTCTTGTTTACTTTCTTGCCTACGTTTTGCATAATCGGCGTTTTCTTGGATACGGGACGCACTTTACGAGCCGGTGGCCTTCGGGCTACGTTTTTGCATGGGACATGGCGTTACGATGAAACGATTGATGATTTTGCATTGGGACTGGATCGGCAACCGGAATACCCCACTGGGCACTGTACACTTGGGTAGCATTGGCGTTTTGGCTTAAGAATCGAAGTCTTGAATGTTGCTTTTCGATTCGTGTGTATTGGGATGTGAAGTACTTCAGGATCCCTAATAGCTAGGCGTCTAGTGTGACTCTAAAAGACTCGCTGAAGGACTTCAGGCTCTGTTTTGACCATGCTGCTAGTGCGCCTCCGCAACACCGTTAGAAGTACTTCACGCTCCGTTATAACTCTATACACCTAGTTCGCCTAGGTGAAACAGCTAAAGTACTTCAGGCGCCCTAACGGCTACGCCTCTAGTCTGCCTCCACAATACGCCATGAAGCCCTCCAGGCCGCCCTAGCCTCAATCCATCCAGGTCCTACTCCATAACCACAGGCTCAAACTTCTCCTTCCTTGCCTGCGTCGCCCCACTCGCCTTCCACGCACTCAGTATCAAATCCACAATATTATCCACCCCCTTCCCATGCTTCACCACGGCGAAAATCGTCGGCCCCCCTTCCCTCATCCTCCTGCTATCCCTCTCCATGACGCCCAAATCGGCACCCACCGCCTCCGCAAGGTCGATCTTGTTCACGACCAGCAAATCCGACTGCGTTATTCCTGGCCCGCCCTTGCGCGGGATCTTGTCGCCGCCCGAGACGTCGATCACGTAGATGATGAAGTCGGCGAGCTCGCGCGAGTAGTTGGCGGCGAGGTTGTCGCCGCCGGACTCGATGAGCAGCAGGTCCGTGGAGAATTTGGAGTGTAGGTTTGTCAGGGTGAGCAGGTTGGTGGATATGTCTTCGCGCACGGCGGCGTGCGGGCAGCCGCCGGTTTCGACGGCGACGATGCGCTCGCTGAGTACCGTGATGGTTAGTCTCTGGGGTGGAAGTAGCCTAGGAGCAGAAAGCGAGGGTTTGGAGTCGGGGAAGGCTTACGCTGGTAGGGCGTTGTTCTTGGTCAGGAACTCGCAGTCTTCGCGTGTGAAGATGTCGTTTGTGACGGCGGCGATGGAGAAGCGGGTTCGGAGGGCTTTGCAGAGCGCGAGCATGAGGGCTGTCTTGCCGGAGCCGACCGGGCTGCGGAGATTAGCATCCTGTTGTTCGAGAAACCCAAAGCTTCAATATCCACAGGTACAGTGAAGGCCATCGGTGCAGTGGAGGAGATGGAACATGGATAGATGAGGCTAACTGAGCTTATTGAGGGGAGCCTACCCTCCAATTCCCACTGTAAAAGCCCTCTCCTCCCAATTCCTCCCCTCGATAATCGGCATCTCCCGCCCAAGAAAGCTCCCCGGGCCATCGAGGATCTCGTGCGTGTGCCCGTGGTCGCCGCCACCATGCGAGTGAGACGCGCCGTCATGTGAGTGGCTGTGAGACATCGTAGGTCCAGGCCTTCAATTTACTCGGTCGAATAAGGTCAATTGAACGCGTGGGTCGGATCTGGGGAGACTTGTCGAGGTGTTTGCAGGGTCAGGGTTGCTTGGAGCTCGAGGAGCTGAGGTTGACGATGGTGGGGCAGGACCCTGCAAAGGGCGTGGGGTGACGATCATGGTAGGCTCGTTGGACGACACCTGCATCGTGAGGCTCAAAGCGAGAGCAATTGACGGTAAGGCTGAGCGAGATGGCGCAAGAAGAAGCGATTTGAGTTTCGACGTGTCCTGTGGCTGCGCGAACTCGACTGATCTGGTGCGACCAGGGCGCTTTGACCAGGAGTCGTGAGAAGCGGTCTGCACGATGGACTCCCCTTCTTCCTCACCTCTCCTCCAGTTCGGTGTCTCAGTGTTGAAGCTGCAAGGATGGCAAGTATACGATTCTGTCATCTCTCTCAAGCATCTCGCTTCTCATGTTCCTTTTCCCAAATGAACGCGTTCCAGCTACGCCGCATAAGAAGTCAAGCGAGTGCGCATCGCCATTAACCTCCGCCAACACCATGATTCAATAACGCCGCAGCGCGCCAGCACGCCACAAAATCCCTCTCCTTTCATGTGCTTATGCTCAATTCTCAGCTCATCAGCAGCGCTCGCGCCTGCAGCTCCGTGACGAAATACGAGCACAGTATGTAAATGCCAGCGCAGAACCTGAAGTGGATCCCTTCGATGGATCGTGACCAAGTTTTCTGCAGCTTCATCGGGGATCGCGCATCGCAGCTTTGGGGGCCTATAGGAATTACCCGGCACTTGCGCATGCACCGAACTCCCTTTTGAGCCTCGGGCGCGCCTCTTTCTTACGCTCGTTGTCTCTCTCCTTCTCTTTTGTTTAGTTTTCGGTCAATTGGCGTCTTGTTTGTTCGGTAATGTCTATCACGATGTCAGGCTCCTGGGGCTCCTGGGAAGAATCCGATTACGCGTCCTTTTTGCTATGGGATATCGACCGCGAATTCCAGAACGCATACGAAGCCTACGAGCAATGGCTGGCGAGGAATCGCCGGAGACGTTCGGCATGGCAGTGCATAACTGGCAGCACCCAGGAGGATGCTTTAGGAAAAGCATTGAGCCTGGGGCGCCATGTGCAAAAGCTCATTGATGACGGAAAAGAAGCATTTGGATCGCGCTTCGAAAGAGGTGATTGTAAGGAAAACCCCGTTCTGCAAAAGTCGGAGAGCGCGGATGCTGATCACCAGCAGCAAGCTGCCACACTATCCTCTCAGCGCAACTCCAACGCCTTCAACATGAGATCACCGTTCCGCTCCTGGACTGCGCACACGCTCGTATACGATTCCCCATACCCTACGACGATATTCTACGGGCGGCAAAAGGTGTTCGACGCGCATGTTTCTATGCCCTGCGCGACCAGTACACCCGCCTACAATCTCCTACTTCTGCGCCTTTCCTCCCGCCTCCACGCTTCTCTGTAAAGTTCTGTCCCTTTGCGCTCCAGCTGAAGAAAGATCAGCGAAGAGGGCATCAGAGCAACATCCAAGCGCGGAAAGTACGACCGCATGACCGCTACGACGAACGAGAAATATGTCCCTACTGTAACGTCCACATATGCGTATCCGCGCATTCCGGCCTCCCAAACTATCGACGCCTGCTCTTCCAATCCCACGTCTCGCAACCGTCCGCAAATAACAACGAAAGAGCGACGTTCGCCTGCAGCAGCTGCTACAAGACCTTCGACGATTCCTACGCCTTCCTAGACCATGTTTTCCAGAAAGAGATCGGCAGCGAAAGGAGTTGTCTGAGGAGATACAGTCTGCGCTTCAGCCTCAGCGACATGAGTCTGCTCAGCGATCCGGCGCTGATGGAGAAGTGCTTGAGGAATTGCCTGCACAGAGAGATTACCAGGGCAAGAGCACTGAAGAAGAGCAAGGAGTTGGAGGCTTGACGGAAGCACGGAAAGGACTGGCCGACATCCCTCGAGCTTCTTTCTTACGATGACGACCAACCCAACTAATATCTCCTTTGTCTTGCCGCATTTTTGGAGCGTTCAGCGACTTTTGTTTTTAACTCATCATGGGTGGTGCTTTCGCGGTTGGATGGCGCAGCCCGGAGGCCTTCAGCACGTTAAGCACATGCAGAGATAAAGAGCTTCACGCTGCACCATTTATTGCATATGCGCCGCTTAATTCGTCTCCTGCATTCTACGCAGATCGACAATGTCACTACCATTTCTCGCATCGAACCCCCTCCCCTTCGGGCCTTCCTGGCGCATACAATTACCGCAATTTCTCCACGCCACGCAGCCCAAGCGCCGACTTTCCCGTCTTGAGTTCCACCCGCACTGACACTGCATGCTTCCTCCAAGAACGGTCGATCTTCGCTCCAACACACCGTCAGAGTTCCATCCATCGCCGATATTTCCGCGCCATCCCCGGACACTTTCCAAGCCTGACGTTAACGCGCTTCCAAGCCTGACGTGAACGCTCTTCTAAGCTAGCTACCGGAACCGGCTCCCAACCTCTTACATACTCACCCATACACAGATCACGAATCGCGCATCCATCCGCAACCCGATTCCCCATCCCCAGCCAAGTCGGTCAAAGAACCCGGCCAATCGAGAACCCTACGGGGCCCAAGCCCCCACTTTAGCGCTGCGCCCGCCCACTCACGCTTATCGAGGCCTCGGCATGCCGAGCGCAGAGCCCAGCGGAGGAGCCTTGGGAGTGCGCGGGGCCGGAATCGCTCGGCGTTGGCGCGGTGTTGGCATGTGTGTGCTTTTTGATTACTGATGCCTGTGGAGGACGGTCTGAGCGCTTGGGTTGAGAAGGGCTGTTGGGGCGGTGTGGATTCGGACCGTTGGCGTACTGTACCAAGGGAGATAGGGGAAGAGGGGTGGTTCTTGGGTATTGGATGGGTTGGTGGTGATGAAGCGGTAGGAGGGATGGGGTGGTGACTCGGAACATGTGATGGTGAGGGGAGAGGAATTTTTGGGGGAGTGGTTCAAGCATATAAGTATAGCGGGAAAGGTGAGTATGTATGCGTGAGGGCGGGGATCATGTGAGAAGTGATCTGTTCCAACAGAATTCGTAAAGCAGAGGCATTGAAGACTGCAAAATGCATCAATATCGGGATATCATATCTCTCCGCGTCCGCTCTTCCCAGGAAAAGCCATCTCCGCATAACTCGTACAAGGCAGCCACCCTCCCCCTCCAAACCGTGTAATCGGAAAGCAAAATGAGAACGCCGATGCGGTCTTATTTTAAGACAAAAGCACACCATTATATCCAATCCGGTCTCACAACCCCAGAAAAACGCCGTATCCATGCAGAAAATGTTGCTTTTGCCGAAGCAGAAAAAAATCGACGCCAATAACGCAGCATAAAAAGGTATTATCATAACAGTCATCGTCGGCCGGCGTGGTTCGCAACAGCGGGGGAGAGGGGGAGACGGAGGCGGAGGCTACCTCAGGCCCCGCGAGAGCCATCTATCCCACCAGTTCCGCACGCCTAGAATGCTCTCTTTCCCGTCGTTGTGGCCGTCCTGTCCAGCAGGATCGCCGAGGATGGCGGAGAAGAACCAGAAGCAGGCCGCTGTCCAGGCGGCTATGGCGACGCCGATGGCGACGAAGGGGGAGAACAGGTGGATGACGACGAGCATCGGCGCGCTGTACTCGGTGGAGGCGGCGTAGGAGTAGACGAGGTGCAGCTGCAGGTTCAGCGGGGGCGCGAGGAAGGTTGTGAGCTGTGTCGGGAGCGTCGGGCGGGAGGAGAAGAGGCGGAATGGTTGCAGGAGGAGGGCGATGAGCAGCGCGACGAGGGTCCAGAGGGTGATGAGCAGGGAGAGCAGCGCGCAGGGGCCGGAGAGGAAGAGCTGGAGAAAAGTTAGCCATTCTGTCATTTCTCTATTCTGTGCTGGTTACACATACCAGCAGCTGCACCGGCTTGTCTTCGGGCCCCTTGTCGTGGTATTCGCCAGAGTCGTATATCACGGCGGCTGTGACATCTGCATTGGACGCTGAAACACGGGTCGGCGAGCGCTGGCTGCGCGGCGAGGACGCGGCCTTCTCGGGGTCGAGGTGCGCGCGCGGCGGATAGGACACGGCATCGCTCACAGCGGGGGCATGCTGGATCTCTGATATCGAGCGGTGCCGGCGTGCAGAGGAGACGCTGCTGCTGCTGGGGCTTGGCGGCGACGGGGCCTTTGGCGAGAGCGGGTGCGAGATGACGGAGTCGTGGGCGTGGCTCCGGCTGCTGCCCTTGCTGCCGCGCTCCACCCGCGGCGCGTCCTGCTGGTGTCTGTCCTGCTCGGCGCGCGCATGCTCGCGGTCGTAGGGGCTGCTCTCGGGCGCGCGGTGCTGGCGGTGGTGGTGCTGTGCGAAGGTGGCCGGAGACGGGCCCCGCGGCGGCTGGGGTTCCATGGCCGGCGATTGGTGGGTGGGCTACGTCTCGACGAACATCAATGGCAGGGCGGTGGAGAGACAGGCGGGCGACGAGGACTCGGTCATGATATAGCCCAGGCAGTCTTCCCCTCAGGAGAGGCAAAGACGAGTGGTTACATACAGTTTGCGCTCTCAAGACCTTGGGAGAAGGTCTTGGGCTTGGCCTCCTACACCAGATCCAGGGCCAAGGGCTGGGCGCGTTACTGGGCAGAAGTCGATACGTTTGCGGACGCCAATCACGGCGCGCCGCGCTGGGCGCCCTGCGATTGTCGTCCAGGACCTGCTGAGGCCGACAAGACGGAATGCGCGGCTCATCTGAGTCCGGGCGCGTTGGGGCTGCCGCCGTCCTCCCAGTCCCTCAGCCTTGGCGGCGAGGCGCGGCCGACCGTGGAAGACTCCGCTGGGCGGCGTATCCGCTGTTGTCCTTGCGTGCGCCGTGGGCGACGAGCTGCGCCAAGCGCCAGAACAGCGCGCTGTTGAGGCCGCCCAGGCCTTCCGCTGGAGAATGGGTATCAGGTGCGCGCCGCCCAGGACGTTGGCCCACCGCGCGGAGAGCTTTGTGCGACGCCGACGGCGTCCCGCATTTTCCGCTGTTGCTCGTCGACGGCGCCCAGCACCGAATCTGCACCACACGAAGCGCGCCTGTTTGCTGCAGCGCCGCAGTGCGACGTTCCTGGTCAATATATCTGCCCTCGGCGACGACAAGGGACCCGGCCGTCGGCGTCGTAGTGTGCTGCTCGGCGGACCGGCCTCACGTGAGCCTAAGGCAACTCCAAGCGCGGCTGAAACGCTGTTGCGGCGCGAATGCTCGGCTTCGGTTTCGCTAGCGCAGTGCGAATACGCAGTACGGAGGTACGATCGCCAGAGATAGTACACAATGATTAATCCTTCGGCGCTCGATACGTCAAGAACAGCTATGAACACGGAAAGCCTCGTGTGACTGATTCAACCCTCAATACATCAAGAAGTCAATAAGCCATCCCCACACCTGTGCAGACTATCCAAGCCCAATTCTCCCGGAAATCTAACAGGTCATCCTAGGACTGTATGCCTTGGAGCATCTTCTCGATTTCCACAGCGAGAACCCTCCCTGCATCGCAGACAGCGTGGCGACTGGCCGAGGCATTGTCCGCTGTGACCTTGCCGTTTGTCGTTACTGAATCGTGTCGGCCTGCGTTCAAAGCGACCACGGGGATCCTCGTGAGTATATCCGCCACCTCGTTGATCGAGTTCCGGACTTTGTCGACATTCGTGACGGGCGGCCAGAAAGCCCACATCTTGAGGTACCGAATCATCGAGCCGTGGTTTAAGAAGGTGCACGACGTACGCTCGTCACTGGCCAAAGGAGGCTGTCCAGGCAAACCGTCCGACGCCTGGCAGATGTTGCCCCCTTCCATGCTGAATACGTAGTTGTATGTGGTGTCGAAGAACGAACCAAGGGTTTTGACGCGAGTTCTTCTGATGGAATCTAGCCGACACGTTAGCAATCATAGGAGGTGAAAAGGCGGCGCCATCCGTTGCCATATCATAGACGGCCAGCGTTAACTGGCGTCTCATTGCGTTTGAAACGATATCAAAATGAAAAGTGACTTACTAAGATGGTCTTGTGGAATATATCCTGAAAACTCCTCTCTGGTACCGGGCTTCATCAGCACCCCCTCTTTGTTGACCCGACAGTTCAGCAGAAAGTGCCGTGTCAGCTGGTCGTGATCCTCCGTAAAGCCAAAGACCCACGCGATATATAGCCAATGCTCATATCCTTGCATAAGAATCTTTGGTCTATGTGGATTGGCCCAGTTGCTGATGTAAGGGAGCACCTTGCCGCTCACACCGTATCGGCGGCAGATTTGAGCCATCTCTAGTAGTTGAGAGAATCTGAGATTCTCCGGAACCTCGACGAATAATGTGTGGACGATATACATGAGCACTTGCATCATGTCGGCGTCATCTTCTGGAAGTCGCACATGTCTCTTGCGTGACAAACATTTGTGTGCGCTTCCAGCGACGACCGCATCCCACTGAGGGCTGAGATTCTTGATGATGTCAAGAGAGACAATCAACGTACGTCTCCCGCTCTTTGCTCCGTCTGTACCCACATGCAGTACGAGCCTGCCGTTATGCCTGATTTCGACTGTTCCTTTCCGATCAAGCTCGGGGGAGGACGGACTACGTTTCTCCTCGTCCTGGGGCTTCTCATCCTGGGACTCTTCGTTCCGATCGGTGGGCACATTGTTCACGGCGACGCCTATGTCATCTGTAGCAGTGTCAGCAATGTGCTAGAAGCTGATGGAACTAAGTGCATAATGAGGTAAAATGATAGGCAGAACCAATGGGACAAAGACCTTCACTGTTTCCTCGGTTCCCCTGTTCTGCGAGTTCGGGAATATTAGATAGGGGGCGTGTTGAGTGTGGAGGGATGTAACGACTGTTGGCAATAGCTGGGGGTCCGGCGAGACCACGAAGGGGCGCAGGCATCTCCAGGGGTGGATAATCTGTAGTCGCGGGGATTTCCTCACCGGAAGACCCATTAGTTGTGGGTGAGGGAGGGTGAGGACCGTCTGGGTCATCCCAGATTGTGGATCTCATGGCTGCCTCCCCAAGGAGCCCGATACCGGCAGGCGAAGAGCTGTCCCAAATTGTCAGGGTACCTGTAGGGCTTTCTGACTCGTCTGAATCCTCATCGGTATGAGCGCCTTGCTCGCCAGCACCATGAATATCTCGAGCCGAGTGCTCATCAATGGCAATTTTCTCGTATGGAGATACCTCGTCTTCGCCATCACCTGTGGGGTCTGCGATTGCTTCGTCGTTGTCTCTAAGTGGACCAGGACTCTCTGATGGTTCCGCATAGAGAGGCTGACCGATTTTCAATGGTGAGTCGCCGTTAGAGCGAGAGCGGGGTTTGGAATTCTTCTCATACAGTAGGTTCTGACGAGTGTTGATAACACGTGCGGTTTTGAGGATCTCCTTCTTCATCTTGTTGACGAACATCTTCTGCTTTAGGGGTTCCTCCCTTACGAAAGGACTTCCTGAGGGGTCTAACATGGTTGAGTAGATTGGAACGGAGCCGAGTCGGGGGATGGGAGATCAGCGAGAAAGGCAGGCCGAAGATAGCGGTGGACCTGTGGACAGCAAAAGCGGTCGAAGAAGGGAGTTTTTCGGTAACGATGGAACCGAGAGCGCTAGTAGAAACATGCAAAGAAGAAATGGGAGAGCGAGAGACTGACCGTCTTCTGCTTCGATGAGCCGTGATGTTGATGTTGGTGTTGTAGGGATCTCGCCATGCTGTGCTTGTTGCCGTATAGCGGCTTGGGAGGAAGGGCTGATTGGTTGGGCAGGCGCTTGCTGGACTGGCTGCGCGGTATTGCTTACTGCCGCGGTGCGATTGCCCAGGTCGGCGGTCATGGTGATGAAGGTCGGCTGCTGCGATGGCGGTCGCGACGACATCTTGCAAGGAAAGAAAGGCTGGCTTGACGAGCTAATACAACAGAGTCAGGACGAGTACATGATGAAAAGTAAGAATTGTGCTGGAAGTGCGCGGTCAGCTAGACAGGATCATCTTTGTAAGTGGGGGTACGCATTAATTAGGACCCAGAAATTGTTCACTCAAGCATAATTCCAAAGTGGGGCGGGCTGTTGGGTAGCAAATCGAGCCGAAACATCCTCAACTGGAGGCTGCGGGAGCCGAGAGGGCACTCGTTTGTATGGCAAAGCTCTTCCCCGGGGGCGCAGTGTCTTGTATGCCGATGTAAGAAGCGTGACGCTGGTAATGGACAGGGCAGGAGCCTCTCATTGAAGACTTCAGGTGCACAGAGCGCGCTATCGAGCATGCTTAGAGCCGGTCAACAAGAAATGTGAACAACGGTTGGGATGTATGGGAACGTGAGGAGGTTCCCAGGTAGTCTAAACCAGAAGTCGGGATCGGCCAAATAATAATCCCGGTGAGGCGCTTCACTGGCTTGGCAGCGGAACCAAAAGGCACATCATACGTCGCAATACACAATATTTTCTATTTGATTTAATCATGCCTAGATCCAATCGCGTTCTGGGCTCGACCATAATTCAGGCGCCACCGTGCTCTCATACATGGTACATAATATACAAGCCCCATGTCCTGCGCTCTAGGCCATTGGTACTGGCCTCAAATGGCCGTCCTTGTCATACTTCGCTTTGAAAAAAGTATAGCTTAAAGTGACAGTCTCAATCCCGTTCATGTTGTGATCGTTCACGAATTCCGGATCAATGTAGAAGAACACGGGCATATCCACGGTCTCCCCAGCATTCAATCGCTGCTCCTCGAAGCAGAAGCATTGTATCTTGCTGAAGTATGGCGCAACCTGTCCAGGGGTGACCGAGTAAGTGGCTACGCCGATAATGTCTTCGTCTGACTTGTTGGTCGCGGTATAGAAGGCGAGAGCGGTCTCGCCGGGTAGGACGCGGACTTCGCGCTGTTGTGGGACAAATTTCCAGGGCAAGACGTCCGACACGGAGCCATTGAAGGTTATTCGGATTCGAGGGTGTGATTCTACAGGCTTGAGGCGCTCTGAGGGGTCGATGGAGGAGTCGGCGTGCGCTGCGGATTTGATGGGCTGACCGCCCCAGCCGGTGGTCTGGCAAATCTAGTATGGTATGTAAGCGCAAGGCTTACATAGCGACCTTTCCTAGATCATACCATCTTATACATAGGTACGGATCCGTATGAAAGCGCTACGGTGCCGAGAATGATACTGAAGACGTAGTTCCTTTTAAGCAGTCAGCTAGCCTGCCTAAGCACACCGCAGCAGCCACTCCGTACATTGTTGTCCTGTTCTTCTCTTTATATCGGGCGTGCATCTGATCCATTGACGGCACAGCGCCCTGCTTAGCCTCCTTCGTGGTGCTCAAGCATCTTCGCGGTGGTACGATGCCGCAACTGCTCGAGCGCGGAAGACGAGTGACGAATCGAGAGCAGGATGAACATGTCCAAGGCTGCAGCACGCGCGATGTATGTCGTAAGGGCGATGAGACAGACATTGTGGGGTTGGAGGCATGGGGCTGGTGCTGGGGGCGGTCGGATGAGTTGACGAACCTTCCCCGCGGATTTTTGGTGGACCTGATTGGCTCTCGGCTCGGGCGATGACCGTTCGACTTTCAACTTCAACTTCTTCCTAGCCGCGCCTAGTCACCATACCTGTCGCCGTTCCAGGTCAGCTCTTCCAGCTCTCCGCTGTTGTCATTACCTTTGCGCAACATGGCGGGGGTCTTATGTAGCGTCTGCAACAGCGAGCCGAAAAAGTACAAATGTCCAACATGTTCGGTGCCATAGTAGGTCCTCAGCTCTCAAGCCCTTCAGACGACCTTGTCTAACAGGCCCTAGTTGCTCAATATCCTGCTTCAAGGAGCATAAGTCGACACATCCAGAAACCGCACCCACCCCCTCCGCTCCTCCAGAACCTGAGATCCCCCAACCTCCGCCTCCACAGCCACTCCCGAAGTACCTGCGCAAGAAGATCGACTTTTCCATCCTCGGCACAAATCCCAAATTCCAAGAGCTGCTGAAGGCATATCCGACACTGTTACCCATGCTCCAACGCATCTACGCTGCGACGATCGAGCCAGATCCGGAGGACGGCCCACAGTCACGTCGAAGAGGCGGGTATCGTGGTCGAGGGCGCGGGTACAGGGGAGGTGGGAGGGGTGGCCGTGGAGGCTGGGCAAATGATGAGGGACCAAGGTGGACGCAGAAAAAGGGCGACGCTGATGCGATGAAGATGCTGAAGGGTCTAAGGGATGGCAAGAGGGCCGGCGAGGAGAAAGAGGCGATGACCGCGTTTGTGGGGCTAGTTGAAGAGACATTTGGAGAAGTGGGTCGTGAAAGAGAAGAAGCAGTTACTGGGGGCATGGTCGGGACATTATGAGCAGCCTGATTCACGACAGGATGGAACAACGCTGCGATGACGTCGATGCAGGATCGCGAAACAATAGCGAGTTGGGATACTTCTGGAAGGGTTCAAGCTCCTGTACTCCGGCGATGTGGCGATGGTATCATACACGGATACGTCTTCAATGGGAGCGTCTCACTCAATGGGTAGGTTTATTGGTCTGTACTGAGAATGCATCGCTAACCTGGACTAGCTAGCGCAAGGGAATCTAATTCTGAATACTATGCATTTCTGAGTTTCTGGAAATGCTAGTTCGAATGTACGCCACCCTTACTATGAGCAAAAGCGTCCCCCGACCCGCAGATGCACTGTAAATGAACCGGAAGAAAGAAAAGAGAAAGATCCCTCCGCAAATAGCCCTCCACGACGGCGGATATGAACAGATTGGAAAAAATCTGGCAAGGGAATAATTCCATCGAGATGTCTCTGCGACAGCCGTCCAGAGACTCGCATTCGCCCGATAGGGATGCAAAATGGCGTTAGATCAAGAGTATGTCGCAAGTTGCAAAGGGGAGAGAACGATGACTCGGGCTAAGATATGCTGAAGAGTGTTTTGGGCATGTGAAGGACGAGATGTTCAAGTAGTCTGCAAACGAAGAGGAATTCCGAAGGCATTGTCTTGCGTCCGGCTAGACATATGTCTTCTGTTTGGAGGTCAGTCTACGTTGCGCTTTTCGAAGGCCAGCACTTACATAGACCCAATCGTGGCCAGAGTCCTTTATGGGTATGCTCCCGGAGGCTTTGGCGTACTCGTTGTACGAGACCTAGATCGCCCATGCACTTAGAGTAGTTACAGTTTGTATTGTAAGAATATGATCTGTAAGAATATTGATTTTCTGGGCCGAACTTGTGCTTGTTGGGAAGAGCAACAAACGCCTTCCAGTATGAGTATGCGCTGTGGTAGATCGAAACGGTGTCGTCGAGCACGGGGTAAAGACCCAATTCCTGGAATGCCATTATGAGAATTCCAATTCGCAGCGCAGCGCAATTGGCGCTCTCTTGTTTATCACACGTTTTCATAGCCAGGGCCGAGGTGAGTGCCGTGTTAGACGCGGCAAGGATCTCTTGAAGCACAGTAGTGCGAGCCACACGGATCCTCTCTGTATGAGACCGTCAGTATATCTGAACGACAAAATTGCCCAACGTACACTGGCCAGGCAGTACCCAACGAAACCTCGGCTTACCCAGGATTGCAACCGGGAGGTCCTTGTGGAGCATTATCTTCTTGCCATCGCTCATGTAGTAGAAATCGATGGTATCCGGGTCGACCGCTGTGCACATGACGAGCTCACCGACGAGATAATCGTAGTCTTCCTTGAACCTGAAGACGTAGGCAACGAACGCCCAATCCTGCATATCGGCGTTGCTAGGTAAGTATTGTCCGGTGCCTTTGTGCGGGCCCAGCCAATTCTTCATAGTGAAGAATGGAGCGACAAGGTCAGCAAGCAAGTACTTGTCACAGAACGCTGCAAGCTCCAGGAGCTCATCCTTGCTCATACTCTCTGGGAGCTCATGAAGCTTCAGGTGAACAACCCGAAGCACAGTGTGGAAGGCATTGGGCGAGTCGTCCGGAAAAGGGATCTCTGATTGCTTGCTCTCGGCATATCGTCCGCTGAGCATGGCCTTGAAGGGTGGACTAGCCATCCTGAGCGAGACGCTGTTGACACGAAATGCCTTCATGCCGCCAGGGCGCTCTTTCTCGCCGACCACAAGAGTGAGGTCATACATGTCATCGAGCGTCACGATGCCGTTGTTGCTAAGCTGGGTGACCATCGATGACGTGCCCTCGGACTTTGCTTTGGGCTCGCGCTTGATCGTGGGATCGGAGGCGGCGGTTGCAGACTCCGGATTACTGACGCATTGCCGTTCTCGAGACGTTTCGCTCGTAGAGTCGGTGGTGGGTGCCGTGTTTAGCGCCGGGTTGTCTTCACCCTGGTTTCTCTTTCGAATGGTGCCCGCCATCATCAAGGGACAGCGTCAACGGAAGTTCGAAGCTGATCGGGGTCGCTCTTGGGGACGAGGTTCGAAGGATGTGGGAGAAATGAAACGATCGAGGCTGGTTTGCGCGGCGAAGTTGGGTAGGTGTACAAGCCCACCGGGAACAGAATAAAGAGGTTGAAGTGGAGCGGAGGAGAGACGGGTGGGGAGCCCGAGGAGTGGGGAGATGCGGCCTATAAGTAGAGGTAGAAGGCGAGCTGCAACAGTAGTCTCTACAGACCACGCAAGTGAAGGTGACTGACGCTTGATATTTCGACAGTTGAGCCATTTCAAGCGGTGAGCAATGGTATGCTCAATCTCGTTGCCTGGGGTCGGTCGGCTATCGTGAACGGAGAATTTGGAGGTGGTTAAGTAGAGCCTGAAGGCCTTTAGGGGATTTTCCCAATTTTATCGGGGATGTTGCACTCAAGAGGGCGGACATCTGGTTGAGAACAAGGCACGCTGTAGCCGTAGAGCATAAAAGCAGCACCCTTTCGACTGTGATCAGATTACTTCAGTGACTCATACCCTGAGCCTGGCGGAAGCCGATCATTTTTTTGCTTGCTCTTCCATATGTCTGCGATGACTCTCCAAGGTTGGAGAAGGCATCTGAGACACTACCTGATGCACCATAGCGGCAATGTCAATAATCTCTCCACACGTTGAGTGTGAAGTAATCCCGTGCTTCAAATACTCCTCTCTTATGCCTTCGCGGTTGCCATAAGACCTGCTGAGCCCTTGCCCGTGGTTGACGATTTGTGCGTAGTTGTGAGAATCGATCGTGAGGATCTTGGTATCCCGGAGCGAGATCTGTATAGAATTTACGCTTGATGAAATTTCCGCACCGGTTTTGCGAGTCGGATATAGCCCCATCGTGATTAGTTGAGATAAGAAGGACCCTAGTATCATTGACGAGCACTGGAATTCAGAAGGGGCTACGAGGTCGTGCCCCTTCATCTCCTTCACCTTACATACTCCACCTTGCAGAACTTTGTCAACGCACGCGTAGCAACCTTGTAACATGGCGGATAGCGCATCTTCTCGGACCCGGAGGATGCTTTCTAGAGATTCCTGTCAGTGAACAGAGCAAAGCAGGCGTGAAAGCATGTACAAGACACTGTAACACAGAGATTGCATATTATTGCCCTCGCCATAAAGGTCCCAATATCTGCAGATTGACCGAGACAGTAATTCATATTGGTCATGAAATAGGGGTTGCACACCTAGTATGTCCGGAGGCAGCGTGCCCGCTTGGAGTTCAGGGCCGCCAGTGACTCCTACAATGGTACGACCATCCATATCCGATGTGGCTACTGCGCGGACAAGGCGTTTTGCGAGGGCATCGAAGCTTTCAGAATAACCGAAGGTCCAAGCAATAAAGAGCCAAGCAGGTTGACATGTTTTAGGATCTGTCATATGCAGGAAGGGTTGAGCCCAACAGTGAAGATCGAGGAAAGGGCGGACCATTCTGACGAGATCGTATTTATCGCACACAAAGGCAAGATTGAGAAGTGAGTTGAAGGAAATGCCGTGCTTCTGGGGAAGCTCTTGAAACCGAAGATGGGCGATTCGAAGGACCAATAGCATAGCTTCCACATCATCGTCGGGGAAGGGAACCTCGGAAGACTCACTCTCAGCCCAGCGTTGACCAAACATGGCCCTCCATACTGGGCTTGCGAGGCGTAGGGTTGAGGAGGAGGTCAGGACCGGCTGCTGGGTTTCGCCCGTCCCTACCAATAGGGTCACGTCACCAAAGTCATGTAGGACAATAGTTTGCCTTCCCCCCGGAATCGTAGTGTCATCATGAACGGAAGGCGCGGACTCCAGCTCCGGTGCGGTCATATTGGTCGAGAGCTGTGAGTATATGATCGGTCAGCCGGAAGTACTTCAAAGATCGATTCATACATGGTTTCTTCTCGCCCTTCAACCTATCTTAAACTCCGGCCACACGCAATGCAGGCGAAAGCGCGAGAATAGCCCGGAACACTTACCTAGGAGCACCAAATGCCCGCGCGTATTGGCGACAAAGCGAGAGCAGCAGACGGAGGGCGGCAGATAGGGCGCGAGATTGCTTCGCTAACGAACGGGATACCTGATATTGCGGGAGTGTTGTGGATGGAGGTTTGGGTGCTTGGAAAGTGTTTCAACATCGAGATTCAGGGTCCTTGGCATTCCCACCCTATACCTGAAAGGGTACAGCTTGCTTCCAAGGCAAGATTCTATCCATGCATCGGGTATCATTGTGAGATCCACTACAAGAACACCGAATTCCGAGCCATATGATATTCGCCACCATATCCTAAGACTAGACTACAAATGATGAGGGGGAAGTAGAGAGCTCGGGGATAGCGGAGATAAAACATTGCGGGTCGAGCACTTATCCCTCGTTTCATCACCACTGCTGTGCCGTATCATCACACCTTCTCTTAACTTCAAATGCCAACCGCAATAACGTCCAGGACCAGGTTCCGGACCCGAATGCACGGCGTTCAACCCCGCCTTGAGGCTTCACGGGACGTGCCCCGATCAGCAACATGTGCAGCCGGCTGCAACACAAGTATATCGGGCATATTCCACTGCAGAAACAGCACGCCAATACCCTCGCTGAATTTTATCTCAGAGTATTTGTTGATCTCGTCTCGATGAGACGCAGCCTTCCAATTGACTGCCGGGACTGACGGATGCACCCGTGGGGGTTACCATGATCGGCGCTATTCAGCCTCCTACCTCACGATCACATTTCCGACAAAGCGCTATATCTACAACTCGACCTATCGTCGCGGTTGCCGGGGACATGCTACCGTTATCGTCTCGTCGCTCATCGGAGGACGGAGATGCTGCACGCACAAAAGCCGCACTGCCATGCAAGCTGATGCAAAGAAACCTGGCATGGATGTTGCTATTGGCTTGCGTATCTTGGATTACTCGTCGCTCACCGCCGCTGCCAACTAGTGAGGATCTTGTTCCAGGATTGGGGAGATTTGATCGTTAATTCTCCGCACATGCCCCGTATCCGTGCATTGGGCAGCGCATTTGGGCGCAGTGTGGCTGCAATGCACAGACACTCTGGTCCCCGCAGATGTAGTCCAAATCTTGTTGTTGAACGGGATTGGGCGAACGAGTCGCCAGCGCACGGACAAGACCGATGAGGAGGCTTGCCTTTATCGCGGATGGAGGCAATTGGATTGCGCTCACGGCGTAGACTTCCCCGGATATGGCGACGCTCGGAATAGCCGGCCTGGAGGCCTTCGCAGGTGCGTAAAATGGCGCGTGTAGTTAGCTATACGACCAATCTTATCCGTACGGCGAGCCTTTAAATCCGGAGAGGGCTCTTGGATGCGCATGTTACACGAGCAACATCTTTGGCGATGACAGGTCATATCATGCGGCAGCCCGATGATCGCATAGTGACCGCGCCCAAGGCTGCGCAATCTTGGTCGGCGAATTTCATTGCCGAGAGCGTGGTTGTTAGTTCTTCCTGGTCTACGAAGAAGGGGGTGATCAGGCAGACCTCAGGCACTCCACCATTGATTGGCCCAGGCCCCAGGCCGGAGAGTGGAGTCACCATGTGCTGGAGAGTACTTTCTCAAGCGTCCCTTTCCAGCTTCCATTACGGAGCCAACCTCCCACAGCTTTGGTTCTCGGTGACACTACAATCGAGCTTCGATTCGCTGGGTCAACATGTCGGCTATAGAACGTGATTCGTGGGCTGATTTGCCCCACGGTGATCAAAGCTTCCCGAAACGGATCACGAGAGCACAACGAGTGGGGAGCGATAGGTCTCTGTTTCACCCGTAGCTACCGCCAATGTGACCACTCCGGGCCGGTGCTCATCACTGACAAGTTTCTCACACCGCCCCGCTCTTGTCCCCGCCCGGAAGGATGGATATTCTGGTCTGGTGTCAAAAAGCTTGTTTCGTTCTTATCCCTTACTTGCGTGCCTCTAGTGTCCACCTTTGTTGCTCTATTTACACGGTGCCTCCAGCCTCTGCACGTTTACCGTACCCTCGTTCCTATCCTCACCATATCTGTACCTGGGTTCGACGCACATCTGAACTACTGAAACACTTGTAGGAACAATGTCGTCCGCCCGCATTCCGCACATCACACCTCGGTGTATACATTCGAGTCACTGATAGAGTGCCACTCACGCCACGATGCCTCTCCAATGAGCTACACCAGTCTCCTCCAGCTACAACTCAAACACATATCGATGTCTTCCTCCTCCGAGCCTCCTTTCAAACCTCCCCCGGTTGTAGAATGCGTCTCGCAAGAGCACTGTCTCGGCTTTGGCAAGCGAGTCCATGTACCCAACAAAATCTGCGCCGAGTGCCTAAAGCGCCACGACCCGCAAGAACTCCGCATATGTGCGAACAACAATCAAGAAGCCATCACCCTCGTTGACGAAGAACTCTCTCGAAAGCAAGAAACGAAGCGAAACATCGAAGCACGCGGTCGATACCTCTGCGCGTTCGAGGACCCGGACTATGAGCACTGTCGGTGGCGTCGACGAGATCTGAATCTAAGAGGTACGCGTACGGATTGCGGCGTTGTTAGGCGTAAGGGAGCGGCCTGCGAGAAGTGTTGGGGACGTTATCTTCAGAAGATTGGGATTGTGCAATACTTTACGCCAACGGGGTTGTGCCATGAAGAGGCGGATAAGGCGGCGCAGGAGCAGAGTGAATCGAAGTCGATGACTGAAGAGGCAGATGACGATGATGTGGAGGGATATAACACTACGGCCTGACGACTCATACGGGGCTTTGGCACTAGGGCGGTCACTGCGGAGTGTAAATTCTTGGCTAAGGTAACCTCAGGTACTCATGGAGCCCGGATATATCAAACGCTTTGCCCGCCTGAACTACACTATCTCATCGTCCTCATCCGGGAATTACCTATCGTTAATGTGATAGGGGTTCAAGTCTCGAAGTACTGGCATGGCCCAGGATATATTTGCTCGTGGAGACCACTATAGAACATTGATCATGCATGCTCGCGCCCACGAGCTTCAGCAAGGACCTCAAGGTAGTATGACTTACCGTTGCGTATTACTCCTCGAGCGGGATAGATGTCATGTCCCGACAGAGTCATACACTACTTTGACTGTCGCATACCCTTCAGAAACATCAGACGACGTTGAGGTATAAATGTCGCCCAAAGACAGCTCGCCGTCACTCCTTCAACATCACCGATTCCTCGAACGCAGGCCTCAAGAAACTTCAAGTATATTCCCATCACCACAGAGAAACCACTTTTTGGTAAAGCTCACAGCGCTATAGCATCCCCGTCAGATATAACAACAGGCTCGACTTCCGAGGAGTATCATAATCCACGCCGAATTGCTATTCATCATCACCGGCACCGCGGTTCACCTATTCCACGAACTCCGACAAGTATACCGAACCTTCGAACAGCATGAGCGGTTTCAAAAATCCAGCAGATTTGACCGCCTGCGCCTTCGGCTCCGAATGCGACAGTAAGCCTGGGGGTCAGCCAGAGGGACCCGAAATCTGCGGATGGTGCAAGAACCTCAGCCCTTTCGTTCTCAGCTCGAAAGTGGCAAAGTATCCCAAAACTTCCACACTGGTCGGCCTGGTAGACGCATACAAACGGGAACTGGAACAAGAATACAGGCGACATATCCAAGAGAGGACGGGATTATTCCCGTGCGTCACCAAAGACATTGGCTACCTTCGACCTGCCGCGGAGGACCCTCGAGATTTCAATCCACAGAGCTACGGACCTTGCGGCCTCGTCCTTCACCGTGGCAGCCTGTGTCAACGCTGTATTCAACGCGCAGTGCAAATACCCTATCCTCGCCGCAATGAGCTCTTCGATGGCGATATGTTGGGGTTTCCGTGCGTTTTCCGGGACATGCGGTATACGTCAGACAACCCGCCCATCACGCCAGGTTGGCAGTTTCTGAAAGAAAAGGATGGAACTCCGGTTGACGACTGGTTTCCTAAGGGTTCGTGCAAACGCGCTGGTCGAAAGGGTCGATTGTGCTCGAATTGCTATGGGCGTCTGTGTGAGAGGTCGCGTTTCGGCCAGTATTTTAATAAGGAAACGGGCGATTTGCGGGCTGATTGGAGCATTAAGACTGTGGGGAAAGAGATAGGCAAGAAAACTCCAGGATTCAACATGTCTGCTGGGTTCTAACTTGGTTTGAGGGAAGATTGGCACACCGGGGTTACAAAGTGAGCTTGCATTAGATGGTTGGATCAGGATTTCTTTTCTTTCGGCTTTTTCTAATGACCTTGTAATGTGTGGTGGAATCGGGGTTTCTTTTCTTTCGGCTTTCTCTAATGACCTTATATTGTATGCTTAGATCGGCATTTCTTTTCTTTCAGCACTGTCTAGATGCCACTCCTTAATTATACTTCTCTAGCCAGAACTTCTTCTCTCTATTATGCCTTCCTGCATATCAACAAGTCACAACGCCACATTGCGTGATGTAGATGTTGATGGCTAGGCAAAATATCCGTTCATCGTGGACTCACTCCAACGCCGAGGGTTGACTCATTCTGTCGATGGGAGTCATGTTGTAGGGATATTGACTCGATCTGTGCAACCGCGCAGAGTCATCAGACGACGCCCAAGTATGAAAACTTCTTCTGTACGTACTGTCTTCCTTCTTCCTCATAACTTCCCAAACACTGCCTCCGATTCACTTCGCAAGCATCGAGAAAACCCGGCAAAGCTCAACAAGCCCTCACCAGCCATTCTTTGGTCAACTCTATACCTCCAAGAAGCATGAGCGACTCAGCATCAACCACCCCTTCACTCCCTATCCCTTGTCCTTACGGTGTTTTCTGCGAGGGCAAGGGCGAGTCCAAACCGGGGGAAGTACTATGCGAAACCTGCCAGGCGATCCATCCCCATCACCTGACAGTCATGGCGAAAGACGACCGAAAACTGCTCCTGGCCGTGGAAGAACATCAAAGGATGAAAGTCGAGGGAGCTCCGACAGGCAAACACGTCTGCCTTTCCCAGGACCCCCGATTCCACGGCAAATTCCCCGGCCTGGTGCCATCCGTGCACGACTGTGGATATAAGGCTGTGTCGTCCACATTCTGTTCGTCGTGCATCAAAGAAGCCAAAAAGCAGGAGTGGTTCGACAAGGAGTGCTTCCCGGATGGAGCGAAGCGGATCGAATGTCCTCTCAAGAATGAGAAATACAAGGACTACGAGTTTCGATGGTATTGGGGTGCTTCATCTGACTGTCAAGAGAGCAGAGAGGATACTATGTGCGAGCGTTGCTCTGCCGAGATCTTGCGAAAGCGGGCTGTGCTTCTCGGCAAGCACAAGACGTCGGACGAGAACCGCTTCAAGGCCATATTTTCTCAAGATGGAAAGCTCTTGCGTGACGAGAAAGGGAACCTCAAAGCCAAACTGGGACCCCCGGAACAGGCGCCGCTCAGACCGACCAGTATAGATGCCGGTATGCCATGGGAGGGGATGTCTTCTGCTTTCTAACTCGTCACGATCCTACGACTCAGAACCATGTCTTTGCTTGGTCCCATGCAGGAGTACCTCTCCTGTATGATACTTGTCTAGAATAACATCTTCTATTTCAACGTTCCGGCGTGCTTGCGGGTTGTGATGCCGTATCGTGAAATGCGTATGCTGATGGCTGAAAAGACTCACCGTGACGAGGGCGTAGAGTGAGCAGCGCGTAGAACCCTGAAGACTTCTATTCCACAACCGCGCCGGTAAACTGTTTATTATGTGGACTCGTGCTCAAACTTCGCCCGTTTTGAACGCCCGAGTCCGCAATTTCTGATAGATGTGTATGCAAATCGCCGCCCATGCACTGCTAGATACTCAAACAAGTGAAGCTATACATACGCACAAAAGCGGCGCAAATCGACTAGAAGCCAACCACGAGCATCAGCCCGTACCCGACCGTGATAACAACAAAAAATGTGATTATAGACGCGGGGATGCCGCGGGTAAGGAAGTGCTTGACATCGAGGTAGCGCTGGCCTGTTCGCTGATCTTCCATCATAATGGCCGCTGTGACACGTCAGTGTTCCTTCAAGAGCACGAAAGGGGATCAACGTACTCATATTCGGGAATCCGGAAGTCGGCAGGCCCATGGCTGCACTCGCCATTAGCACGGAACCCATGACAAGAAGATTCGGATGAGGCTGGTCCATGCCCTGGCCAACCTCTCTGACCAACGGCAGTACAATGAGTGCGGCTACCGTATGGCTAATGAATGTAGCTACTACTAGGATCAAAGCCGCAAAAACAACGAGCACACCGTAGAGGCTCATGCCTTCGACGCCCTCGGTGATCGATCGAGCGATGGTGTGAAGCAAACCGGAAGAATTGACCGCTTTGCCAAGAGATAGGCCGCCGGCTGCGAGGATGATGATGGTCCAGAGGAAGTTGTTGAAATCTTCCTTGTTGAGAATGCCAGTACCGAAGAAGAGCACCAGCGGAATGATGGCAACGACACCCATGTCGCCGAAGATGGGCTCGAGTTGATGGCTGATGCACCATAGCACAATCGTAAGTAGTGTCACAATGCTGATAAACCATTGAGTGCTCGTAAATTTGTCCTTGAGTGGGCGGATGGGCACGATGGTCGTGTTGCGGCCAGGCTTGAAGGTCACGAGGAGAAGCATCCAGATCAAGAGGATGGAGATGATGCAGACCGGCAGGGCAATGAAGAACCATACACCCCACGAAGGCTCGGGAGCCATGTTCTGTAGCGCGATGAGGTTCTGCGGAGAAGCAATGGGGGACGCGGCACCGCCGATATTGGAGGAGAGCGCAATGCCAAGGAGGAGGGCTCTGGTCATGTCGGAGTCGGCGGGCAGGTTGCGGAGGATGGGCTATTTCGTTAGCATTTACTTTCGATCTGGTGGGGAAGATATACCTGGATAATGGAGAAGCATAGTACAGGAGCGGCGACATTGCTAATCCACATGCTAGCAAACATGGCGACAAACATATTGGTAATGAGGACCGTCCTAGGTTTGGTGCCGGCCTTGCTCAGGCAGAAAGTTGCCATCATTTTGGCAATATTGTACTTGGATAGCGCTGCTGCGATCGTAAAACCTCCGAGAAGGAGCATGATGACGGGTGTCCACATCGCAGCGAAGACATAGCTTGCGGCGGGCTTCGCATCTAGACGCGCACCGTTTACGTCGCTTCGCACAACACGGAGGGTGACCGCTAAGAAAGGAACTAACAGAGATGTTACGAATAGAGGAATGGCCTGAAAAGGTCAGCAGAAGCTTGTTGATGGGATACACGGCACCTACCTCGGAAGCCCAGAGCAGACTGACGAAGATCACCAAAGCGAGACAATTCTGCTGCTCTGGCTTGTCCATGATCGGGACCAGTAGCAATACAATGAAGACGGCGAAAATGGCGACGAACAGCCAGAAATTGACGCTCAGGAGCCAGGCCGGGCACCGATACTTGCCCACAGGTGTGGCGACCTCCTTGATCTCGGATTCAATCTCGTCCCCTTGTCGTCGTACCTTCCTGGGATCTGTATCTCTTCCAAGCAGGGTGTGTGCGAGGCCGATGTTGGCGGCTTGTGCTTTCCGCTCGATGCCGATCATCTCTCGCCATACCGTGTTGCGCTCCCAGACCACATGCTCTCGAAGGTGTAGCCTCAGCTCGCGCTTCGCCTCATCCACGTCGCCTTTGGTGCAGATGCGTGAGTAAGCAATCTCCACTCGGTTCAAGTTATGGGTCAACTTGTCCATTGTACTCTGGAGGAACGGATGGGCAGGGTAGACATGCTGTTCGAGGTAGGCACGCTTCAGCTTGCGATCGAGGATCTTGTCGTACTTTTTGAGCACCTTTTCGAAGCCCGTTTTGTTAAGTTGGATGAATGAGCGCAACTCGCACAGCGAGACGTAGACGCTGACAGTTCGTTTCTTCAGGGATACGCCTTCGTCGTAGAGGGCCGAGAAGGCCATGTCATTGTAGTCGTCGAAAGCCATGCTCGTCCTCCGCCGTGATGACGTGAAGTCAACAGACGAGTACATATCGTCCTCGTGCTGGCCGTCGAAATGCGGCCGCCGTCGATGCCCGTCCTGGCTCTTCCGCCGAAGCTGAGATGTCTCGTTGGCGTCATCATCCGAGTCGTCCTCGTCCAATTCCTCCGTAGTCGAAGGCCGACTCGCGTTGCTTGCTCTCCGCGGACGATGGAAGCCAATGTGTTTGAATATACTCCCACTCCGTCCCTTCCTGCCTGGTGGACCATTTTCTTGTTCCTGCTCATAGACCTCCTGCTCCTCCTCGTAATTCTCCTCATCCTTCAACAGGTGATCCACCTCGTCGTATATCTCGAGTTCCTTCAGCTGGTAGAAGGAGCATACTTTCTCTAGCTCTGCGTCTAACAAATTTGTGAAGATCTTGTCGGGGTCGTCGATGGCGCCAGTCAGGAGCGGCGACGATTCGGCGTCGGTCTGCGTATGCTGCTGGTTCAGGCGGCTCTCGAGGGTGTATATCCTGTGCGACACGACATCTGTCAGCATTTGACCTGCTATCCATCCAACGCTCGACCATGGGCATTGTGGGCTGAGAGACGTACTGCTTCTTGAGGTTGCTGTAGGCAATGTAGTGGTTGCTCCAGTCGGGCACGGCGTTGAACTGCAGGCTGTGCGAGAACTTCATCTCGTCTGCCTCGCGAAGCCGCTCGAGCTTCTCCCGTCTCTTTCGTGCCCGCCTGCTCTCCCGCCTTGCCCTCGGTGTGGTCCTTGCTGGTTGGGGGAGCTCCTGGAGCTCGAATGCCTCGTTGCTCTGGCTATCACGGTACCGCTCGGGACGGGCCAGAGTGGTTGTGGGTGAGGGTGCCAGCGGGTTGGTGATGAGGGCAGCGGGAGAGAGAAGCCCACCGCAGTTGCACGAGGAACTAGTGGTCAGGCTAGAGGCGTGCCGCGGGCAGGCTAGAGGCGGTCGGCGTGGTTCAGGCGCGTCAGTGACGGTGTGGTGCTCTAGTTTTCCGCCGACAAGCGGCCTCGGAGCGGATGCAGGGCCAAGCAATCCGCACATGGGTCAATCGGTTGGCTCCCCGCGCTCCACCCCTGCCAAAACCACGTTTTCCTTTTCCCAGCCCAGCACGAGGTCTGATTCTCTATATTGTTGTAGATGGGTCACAAGGTCTGAGAATAGTGCATGCTATACTGCTGCTCCTCGATAACGGTCTTGTTCGGTTGCCAACAGTAGATAGCATGCGTTATCGGCTCGCTTGGCACCACTACGTCATAGCGTCCTGCGCCGAGGCTACCTAGGTAACCTGACGCGCATCAAAACCATCTCATGTCTGTAAGTGAAATACTGTGTATGCACATGCCCGTGTCTTCAAAAGATCCATGCAATGGACATTTCGCTATGTCACGTCAAAAGATGCTCTACTGAGATGGGCAAGGATATAGGTTGACCGTCTCAGAACCGCAGGTCCCACCCAATCTTCGGACCCAGCTTGGGCAGTTCATCAGCCACGCTCTGCACGTCCTTGTCGCCTCTGCCGGAAAGACAGATGACAATGTCCTGGTCCTTGTTCATCGTCTTCGCAAGCTCAAGCGCCCCGTACACAGCGTGCGCAGTCTCAAGCGCCGGGATGATGCCCTCAAGCTGGGAGATGAGGCGGAAGCCAATGAAAGCCTCCGCATCTGTCGCCGCGATGAACTTGGCTCGCTGGCTGTCCTTCCAGGAGGCGAGTTCGGGACCAACACCGGGGTAGTCGAGACCCGCCGAGACGGAGTGAGTGTCGCTGATCTGCCCGTGCTTGTTTTGGAGAACATAAGTGCGGACACCGTGGAGGACGCCCTTGGTGCCGCCAGTCAAGGTAGCACTGTGGCGGTTGGTATCCAGGCCATCGCCACCAGCTTCGACACCGAGGAGCTTGACCGACGGATCGTTCGCAAAGGGGTAGAACATGCCAACCGCATTGCTGCCACCTCCAACGCAGGCAACAACCGCGTCTGGAAGCTTTCCCCGCTTCTCCATCATCTGCTGCTTTGTCTCGCTACCGATGACGGACTGGAATGTGCGGACGATGGTCGGGAAGGGGTGGGGCCCAATCGCCGAACCGATGATGTAGTGGGTGGTTGAGAGATTGACCACCCAGGCACGCAGAGCTTCGTTAACTGCGTCTCGGAGAGTCTGAGAGCCGACCTCGACAGCGATGACCTGGGCGCCGAGGAGCTTGATGCGGAAGACATTCAGAGCTTGGCGCCTCACGTCTTCTGCTCCCATATAGATGGTACACTTCATACCAAACTTAGCACAGACAGTAGCAGTTGCGACGCCGTGCTGTCCAGCACCAGTCTCGGCAATGATCTCGGTCTTTCCAAGCCTGCGCGCGATGAGGATCTGACCTAGGGCGTTGTTGATCTTGTGACTTCCGGTATGATTGAGGTCCTCCCGCTTCAGCCAGATGTTCGCGCCCCCGGCGTGCTCGGTGAGGCGCTCGGCAAGATGTAAATGACCAGGCCGCCCCATGTAGTCGTAGTAAGATCGATACTCTTCCCAAAACTTCGGGTCTTCGTTTGCTTCGTTGAACCCCTTCTCTAACTCGGCCAGGCAATCCATGAGTGATTCGGGGACGTACTGGCCTCCAAATTCGCCGAATCGGGGTGGAAGCGCATGTTCATCGCTAAAGCCATCCGTGTTGAGCGCTTCGATCTGATCAGCGAGGCCGGGTCCGTTAGGCACATCAGCATCGGTGACAACCCTGTCCACCGAAACACCGTTGGGCTCTTTGACCGCAGCCATTGTCTCAACGATGCCAACCTCCCTAATAGTTGATGCCCGGCTGGTCTTTCCGCAGATCATGTCGCAGTACTCTTCGACGGCCTTTGCTCCCTTTCCAGGTGCAGCATCGGCCAAAACGTTGACGATCTGACTTCCAATGACCACACCTTCCGCAATCTTACCAACACTCAGAAAATGGTCTCGGGTGCTGACTCCAAATCCAACCGCAGCGGGTATGTTCCCGGAGTATTTGTGGACACGTTCGAGCAATTGCGGGAGGGCAGCGTTCAAAGTTCCGGTCGCGCCAGTAACGCCCATGCGGGAGACGACGTAGATGAAGGAATCGGCTATCTTGCAAAGGACACGCATGCGATGGTCCGAGGTTGCCGGAGCAATCAAAGGAACATATGAAAGCCTAGAAGCGAGCATTAGCGCCAGTCTGTCTACGACGCTCTCGTAGCCGCTTACCCATAGCTGGCACAAAAGTTCCTGAAGCGCAGAGCTTCCTCCGGAGGCAAATCAACCATGATAAAGCCATTGGCACCCGCCTCCTTTGCATCCTGCAGCATGCGCTCCTCGCCGTAGCTCAGCAGAGGGTTATAGTATCCCATGAGGAGAATCGGCGCTTTGAGGCCGCGCTTCCTCGCATCTCGAACCATCTGAAGGCATCCTTCGGTTGTGACTCCATTCTTGAGGGCTTGCTATGTGCGGCCTTCATCAGATACGTTCAGAGGGAAGATGTGGGGTGTGACTCAGCGTACAGTGTTGGACTTTTGAATAGTTGGGCCGTCCGCGATTGGGTCGGTGAAGGGCATTCCGAGCTCGATGAGGTCTGCACATGTCAATTGATCGGTTTCGAGGCTTCTGGGGAGTGTGAGCATGCATCACGCACCTGCGCCACCGGCCTCCATTCCGAGCATGATGTCGGGCGTATCCTGTGGAGTTGGGTATCCCGCCGTCACATACGTGACAAGAGCAGACTGCGACCGTACTCAGCATTCGTATTCCGTGGCATAGTGTGAGGTGACACTTACCCTGCCCTCCTTCTTGCATTGCGCGAAAGTCTTCTTGATGGCGTCCATCGTGTGGTTGGTGCGATTGGGAATTCGATAACAAGGACAATTGCCAGACAGTCTTCCGGAGGAATGCAGCTCTTATAGATGCACCGCAGCGAAAAGTGAGTCACCTTGAGACTTAGGACACGGGGAGGGGACGTCGAAGGCAATTTGGAAGGGTGAGTCCGTCGGACAATTTATTCAGATGACGATCCGGTCTCGCCGCCTTCGGAGAGCTTAGCGCCCCGCACTAGCTCTGCTTTGGGAAAGGCGGAGAATGTTTCTCCAGCGCCATCGCCGAGACGCCGACTTCAACACCACCTTCTCCCTCTCCGGCTGAGCACTCTTTGTACATATCTCTAACCTGTCCATAGAGGAGTAGCCTCGTATCCTCAATGCTTCAGTCACCAAAATATTTCAAACTGGTCACGATGGATTCCAGGATAGACTGCATGCACCTTGGATGCGAGTTCCAGAATACTTCTCTCCACGCGCTAGATCCCAGTTGAATCAGTCGTTTAGGTCTTTGCCAGTATTGTCCCATGTCATCGTTGCTCTACGGGTTCCGCGAGAGAATGTATGGCGACCCGGAGCTGGCGGGACTCTGGCTGAGCAACTTGATTGGTCTCACAGCCAGACACGCCCAGTCCTTTATGCTCCGTAGTTTCTGGTGCTATTCCTGCCTCTTGGGCGCCGGGAAAACCATTTTTTTTGCCCCATGCTGAGGTAAGCCACAAAATGCTACCTCTTTATGTGGTCCGTGTGAGTTCACTAAAGATCGTGTAGGAGTGGCGAGAGGTGAGGTTGGACGATGCATCTACACTCTGGTTACGGAACCTGTCTAGCTTGGTAAGGACTAGTCAAACAGTCCTCCACCATGATCCTCACCAAGCATACTGTGTGCTCCACCCGCCAATCCCCGTTTTCTTCCCGTCCTTAGAAATGGGCATGCGACGATATTCCCCTCCTCTTTGCTTGTATCCTCCGCCCTAGATTAGTCATCCTCCACTTGTCATCATACCAAAGGTCCGCCACTGGTCTGAGGCTCGTTAGTCACGATTTGACTCTGAAGGTATTCAGGCGGTTGTGCACCTGCTCCAGGCTGCCCTCCGGCTCATGCGTCGCTTCTTCTTCTGCTGCCCAAGAAAAGTTCTCGAACAATCCATCCTCCTGCCGCAGCCGAGTAAGTCGAACTGTGATATCTTCCTCCTTTCCGAATGGAAAGATTCCAATATCCCAAGTACCAAAGGGGCCTCCGTATTCAGCAACGACCATGGATTCCAACACCGTCGCCATGCGCATCCTTTTCGGGCCGTCCTGTAGTATGTTCCACCCGTCTGGATTGGGCATCGCAAACTCGCTCGGGTATGGTGTGTTATTCGAATTGCCTGCACTAGCGGCCAAGTTCTGATGCTGTGGTGGAGGGCCTTGGGGCTCCGATTCGTAACCGTTCTGTTGGCCGTAGAGGTTTAGTCCACCGCTGAAACTATCTACTCTCGTCGGCGGACCCCCTTGCCATTGCGGAGCGTCCTGGAAGTCTTCAACAGCGGGCTCTTCAACAACGTTGTCCCTTCTACGAGGTCGTATCTCCACATTAAATCCAGCCAGCTCCTAGGTAGCTTGGTCACAAAATGGGTTGACGCGAACCTTCCACGCCCCTCCGTACTCTCTCGTAACCATATCTCGAATGGTTCCCGCTAAGGAATTCGCTCGTGGGTCGTGCGGAATTTCAACCCGCCCGTGGAGGTTCAGGAACGTGGATCTGCTCTGGTTCGACGTATCATTCAAATCATTTGCGTTCGCGGCCGGGTGCGCGTGCTGATGTGGGGCCCCCGGGAATACCCTCTCCTCAAGTTCCCGTTGAGCGATGGGATTGTGTATTACACCGTTCAGGTTTTCTGCGCTCGCGGCCGGACCGTCGTGCTGTTGCGGGGCTTTCTGAGGTTCTGATTGACGGTCTCCCTCTCGAGTGAGGTCTGTGCCGGAGTTTAGATTGTTGGACGAGACGCCGTCCGGTCGCTTCTTCTGTAAGCGGCGACGGGGCCGTTCTTCGTTCAAATTACTTGCGCTTGCGGTCGGATCATCCTGCCTTTGCGGAGCGCCCTGGAGTTCTGGTCCCTGGTCGACCTTTTGCGCAAGGTTCGCGCCGCATCTCGAGCAAAAGTTATCGTTAAATGAGCCGCCTCCCGGACATTCGTTTGTTGGACAGCGGCGGGCTAGTTTCGGCGTTCTGTGGAATGGCTGGAGCAACGTAGAGAGACTAGGCATGGCAACGTAAGGTATGCGTGTGCCGATAGCGAACTTGTAGAAAGCGATGGTAAGTGTATGGATAGCGATGGAACGATAGTATGAGTGGTGTCGGTGGAAAAAGTGGGCAATGCAGAGCAAGAGATGGAGGCACCGTCTCAACGTTTTCCTGCGTGCTTTCTAGGACTGCAGGAAGCGGTGATCTACATGGCTCTCAACGTGCAATGAGCCGCATGGTGCTGCAGGAGCATTTCTGGTGACCCTGGAAGCTCTTACCAACTCTCGAGGCATTCATGGAAGCGCAAGATACGGGCCGCAGCCCTCTTCGCTAATCAGGATTCGATTATTCGATTCCAAGCTTTTGGATCGAACTCCAGGATGCTGTTGAATCAGCAACTTGGACAGACCTGGCCTTCCGAATGAGCTGTTGCAACGTTCCCAATCAAATGGCCAAGGAGCACCAGTAAGCAGTCGTCAACAAATCAACAGCATATAACTCAGTCCTGCAGAATCTAGCCTGGAAGGGGCTGAAGTACTTCAGCGGCTTTTCCAACTTTAATTCACAAATGATCAGGGATCTAAAAGACGCTAGGATGCGCTATACAAATTCAGTTGTCGCTGCGAGAGGTATAGTGAACAGAAGCGGGTGCGCGACGGTGCAGGCACCCGTATCCTCGTAAGTCGGACTCCTTCGAGGCGATCTTCATCCACTTCAGCTCCACACCGTCCTAAGTCCGCCCAATTTCCTCCCAATTTCCTCTCCCATCGAATTATTCAGCAGCAGCCGTGCCCGATTGCGCTCAGCGAAGGATCCGCACTAGAAACGGATACGCCCGTGCGGAAGAGGAGCTAGACGAGATTACTGGATATGGATAGAATGTTACCGGATTTGGCCACTTGGCATTCACCAAGTAGACATAGACTGATTATGTTCCGCCTGACAATATATAGTATTGGTAAGAGGTAAGATGAGCAGGTGAACGATGGACGAAATATATCGGAGAAATTGACGGGTGGGTAAGGTATAAAGAGAGGAAGTTAGGTCGGTGGGTTGCTCTTACTTCCCATAACGTTAGGTGCTTGGCTCCATTTACTGCTTGTATCCTCCCGGCTTGCTTCGCTGAACTTTACAACATCTGGATAGAAAGTACTTAAACCCCTCCCGAGGACTTCAACGCACTTGTCTTCGACTCCTCACCAACCATCAAGATGCGTTTTCTCACGCGCTCTCTCCTCATGGCTCTTGCCCTGGCTCTTCCATCCTCCCAGGCAACCAACAATGTCCCACAAACCGTCTACCAATTCTCCAACCCAACTTGGCTCGAAAATGTCCACGTCACACGCAACGGCTCCCTTCTCACTGGGGTAAGACACTCCAGCATAACTTCGTTTCAGCTGCAGAAAGCTCCTCCAGAAGGCTTTTAGCGGATAGAGACAACGCTAAAGCAATTAGCTCCCCTATCTAAGGTATCTGCTAACCGTTCCTCCACCTTTGCAGGTCATCGGCCGCCCCGAACTTCACCTTGTTAATCCTTCCTCGTCTGCCAACCCACTACCCACCGATACGCTCGTCTACTCCTTTCCCGGCGTCGACTCCGTCTTTGGAATCACCGAGTTCTCGCCCGATGTCTTCGCCGTGGCCGTTGGGAAGTACAGTGCTGAAAACGGACCCACGAACGGCAGCTGGAGCGTTTGGAGCGTCGAGCTTGGCAGCAGACACGGCGGGAGCGGAAAGAAGGTGAAAAAGATCGCGGATGTGAAGGACGCCTGGATGATCAATGGTGTTGCGGCGCTGAATGATCACGTTGTCTTGCTGGCGGACTCGTATGCCATGAATGTTATTGCGCTCGATGCGCGGACGGCGAAGTATGACGTCGTGCTTCAGGATCCGAGTATGGCGAGCAATATGTCGGCGTACCCACCCATCGGCATCAATGGGATGAAAGTTGTGCACGACGACCTCTACTTTACGAACTCGCAGCTTGGGACCATCAACCGCGTGCGTCTCAATCTCGATACTGGTCACGCCGTGGGTCCATTTACCGTCATTGCGTCAAATGTTACAGTTGTGGATGATCTGGCGGTTACCGAAAAGGGAGATGTGTATGTGGGTCGACCGCTGGACAACGAGGTGGTGAAGGTAGGAAGAGATGGGAGCGTGGTTAAGGTAGCGGATGTGAAGGGTGCTACAGCGGCAAGCTTGGGGCGGACGAGCAGGGATAGGGGAGTGGTGTATGTAAGTACTATGGGAGGGATTAAGGAGGGTGGTGGGTTCGAGGAGGGCGGGAAGATTGTGGCGTTAGATCTTTGCTGAAGGGGGAATGGGGTAAGCGACGGACGAAGCGTGGTTCATGGTGTGAGGATGGGATCTAAAGTCCAAGTATCAGTGTCATGCCGCTATAAAGCACTCAGGGGTATCAACAACATCCACATTAGTTCTGCCCAACATAGCGCAGCGGCTTCCCGCCCTCAAGCGGATTCTGAAACCACTTTCCTTCCAGCCCATCCACTGGTCCCAATTCAGGATGCACAAACGACCCCGGCGTATTAGGATCGAACCTTCTTTCACTCGCCCAGCCCAAAATATCATCCCAATTGCGGCATTCATGCTTTGACCTGAAGTCGGGCCACGGATTACCGTACCCCTCTACCCATTTCCAAGTGATGAGACTGACATCGGAACTGCATTGGAGGGAAAGGCGGATGCTGTCGATGCAGTGCGCTGGTTAGTTGACGGGAGATGTTAGCGTCGAGATCCATGGACACTTAAGCAGAGGAAGGCAGACTTACCGATGTGGTCCTCCCAGAGCGGATGCTCGGCGGGACTGAGCTGGTACGTCGCGTTGAAAACGTATTTTCGGATAAAGTCCTAGCAGACACGCGTCAGTGACGCCGTGTTGCATGTATCGAACGATGCTCACGAGGCAGTGCAGCTGATGAAAGACGTCCACCGTCGCCAGATACCCTGACCCGTCTGCTAGCTCGATCGATTCAAGACTGCTCTTTTCGAGATCCTCTTTCTGCACGATGATTGTGCCGACGTTGCCTGGGGGCGCGGAGATGCTGTCCCAGAGGGCGTCGACGTCTCTACTAGGGGCTTCTGTGAAGGGCGTGCGGTCGCCTAGGCTGAGATTCCAGTGGGAGGTTTGCGTCTGGATGATCTTGTTTAGAGGTGCTGGGATGAGTGTAAGATTTTGTCTAAGACGATAGGGATTCAGGCGCGGAGAAAACGTACAGTGAACTGAGAATGACGTCGACTTTGATGAGATGTGGAACTCGAGGAGAAAGGATCCGCAAAAGAGATTGATTAGGAGGAGGAGAATGTTGATGAGGATTAAAATGTAGAGTTTCAATTGGCGTCGGGCCGATGGAGTCGTATTAGAAGGAAAGTCTTCGGGGCAATCTTCCGAAGAGTCTCTTAACAAGCTGTAAGCTTCTTCGCTTTTGGAGTGCGACATAACGCTTTACACAACGATATGAACGAGGAAAGATGGTCGCTGTGCACTATCGGAAGGAGGTTGGTCGGCAGAAAATTGGAAGAGGCTTCAATTCCAAGGTTCGGCTTCGCGGCCATTCTGGTGAAGTCGGGAGCGCAAACCAGGTCTTAAAGCTAGCTGTGATGCGATGCATAGCCACGCAGACAAGCCGCTCCTGCAAAGAGCTGGCATGAAGCTGAATAGTCGGTGGTAGGTGGTTGGGTCGTAAATTGTGAGGTTCCTGAAAGCCAAGCCGGCTACGACCGCTGGTGCTACGATGCGGCGCAACGGCTTTTCAGCTACTGTACGTTTCGGGAATAGCCCAAGGGAAATAAATGATCCACTCTACGGCTCAGCAGCTTTCGTCACCGCCTTATAACCGTGAGGCTCGACGCTGGACTGCCATTCTGGGTACGCCGCCGGCGGCTCCGCGCTTACTCGGGGGAAGAGCAGACGCCCAGAGATCTAGATAGATCTCCAAGATCTCATACTCAGATCTCTGGTTATTGAGCAAGCAGTGTGATCCGAGGGCTCGAACGTGGCCGTCTAGCCCATTGCGCGTGGCAGAAATGCTTGGATTCCATTCCACCCACAGCTCAAGCCCCCTGGCAAAAAGGCCCAAGCTCTTCCTCGCCGAACTCTGCTCCAAGCATGAGACCTACTCAATGTATACCTCTTGCCTTTTTTGATCTGCTTCAGCTACTACGGTACCATGGGCTACTAGAAACACGCTTTGCCGAAACACTCAGCTGCATGGACAGCGTCCAAAGAGAGTGCCTCTAGTAACTATTCTATCGTGAAGAGCCTCAACTAGTACTTTTAGAGTCTTCACGGGCTCACCGAATGTATTTTTGGTGCTCAAGGTACGGATAGCCTGTACGCCAAACCATTGTCACCGCTCCCAGAAGATTAGGAATGGAACTCTGCAATTTTTGGCCTCAAGCTCGTGCACATCAGCAATGTCACGTATACACAGGGTCGGTGAGAGAACTACAAGCGTCATGAGCCTCAAATGCATATAAAGACGGTACCTTCGAACCTTGAGAATCCACATCAGCAGCAACGAACAGTCTCGACCACTCCAGCGCCATTCAAGTCTCCTCACTTCTTTGCATCCAGTCCTATCAATCCTCTTTCCTTCCCAACAACCCAACTTCCAAACCGAGACGTATTAGTCCATCGTCAAATTCAATCTATCAAAATGCAAATCTCTACCATCATCAGCATTCTCGGCGCGACTTCTGCCGTCTCCGGCCTCGCAGTCCCCCGCTCAGCTCCAGGTATGTTTCTCCAAAACATGATCACTTGTCCCCCTACTAATCCCAACCAGCCCCGGACGTTCACGAAATCTCTACCCTTGGTTGCAAGATCACGCTCGGTTACGGCTACGGCTGCAGCACCAAAGTCGCCGACCCCACCACTCCATCCAAGCGCGGCGAATACTTCCTTCCTGAAGCTCTCCGGAAGCGGGGCTGCAATATCACCCTGGGCTATGGATACTCGTGCCCCTGGGCAGTAGAAGGAGAGGAAGAACAGCCAGAGGCAGAAGGAAGCGCACCCACTACTCCCACCAAGCGCCACGAAGACTCTCTGCCGGAAGATCTCCAGAAGCGTGGTTGCGAGATAGTACTGGGTTACGGTTATAAATGCCCCTTCGACGTGGAGGTGCCGGAGCCCGAGGAGCCCGCTCCTGTCACTGCGGTGAAGCGCAGCGATGAAGGAGCTCTTCATAAACGGGCGTGGTGCAACATCTCTCTTGGATATGGATACGGATGCAATGCTTGAGAGGGCGCACTTGGAGAGAAGACCACAGCTCCTTTGAATCTGGTGGCATGATGTTCGTAGGACGCGCTGGGGCTGGGCAAAGGCGGAGTGAATAGGGCGCTTAATGGGCTTGGGTCGAGAGTATAGCATATAGGGCTTGGGTACTTGCTTTGAGGATCTTCGACGCAGATCCGTAGTGTCTCACATATAGAGTCTTTGCACATGGTGTATAGGCATGAGTTGACAGTGTATTGCTACCTAAGTTGTTCCTAGTGCTCTACCTCCTCTCCAGATCCAAGAGGTCTTGGATCCAGTCCTCTTTCCACTCGCTGATGCCCTCAATGGCCTTCTTCTCCTTGGTGTTGTAGCTCTTGTCCTTCTGCGTTTTCCGAAGCAGACCTTTAACGAACTCTTTCTGTTTAAGGATGTAGTTAGTGTCGCTTAGAGTGTTTCTCTTCTCTGCTTTGCGTTAGTTAATGCTTTAGAACGGAGGGGCATCTATACTAGCTCGCTCCTCTAGGATCTTAAGGTGCTACTTAAGGAACTGCAATGCCCTTGTGGTGTCGTGCTTAATAGAGCTAGGCTTGCAATCCTTGCTAGCTCCCCCTAGCCTCCTGTTGCAGAGCTTATTAAATATAACTGCGTCTATACCCCGTAAGCTCGCATAGGAGTTCCGTGTTGTCTAATAGAAAGAGTTTGCCAGTCCTTCAACGGAGAGGAGAATCGGAGGTGCCATCGTTCGTGTGTAGTGTGAGCTGCTCGATCGAATATTGTGCAAGATGTGGTGGACTAGGAGCGCAGGCAAGAGACTCCGTTTTATACCTGTGGGTCTCGCGCGCAGCGTCTATAGCTGTCCGCCCTCACTGCCCTTTTGCTGGTGTTGTTTGCGCCCTTTTCGATGACCATCGTCGTTGTTGAGGAGCTTTCTAGGGCTCCTTTTTCGTTGGCAGCTTCGTGCCATGGTTCGTAGCGCCGTGGTGGGCTACGCCCTCGTCATCCGCGCCCGAACCGTTCTTTTCTGTCGACTTATGCCACCTGCCCGTGGTTCTGTGAT